GGGAAGCAGAGCAGCTACGATATGAACTAAGGCCCATGTGGGATATTGGCATTGCAAGCAGCAGTTTTACCTGCTATACTATGATAGCTTCCCATACTACAACATTTCAAATGAGCACATTTTATTGTATGTAAATCAGACTTCAATAGAGTTGATTTCAAAATTTCTAAGACAAAAAATTAGCAAAAATTTCATATCAAGATTTATACAACATACAATTTAAAAAATATATATTTATTTTCATTAGAAAAGAGAGTTACAAAGCAAAAGAGAGACAAGACAGAGAAAGATCTTCCATCCACTGGTTCACTCTCCAAATGGCTGCAGTGATCGCAGCCGGGCTGGTCTGAAGCTGAGAACCAAAAGTTTCAGGTTTCCCATGCAGGTGCAGGAGCCCAGGGTCCCAAGCCATCCCCTGCTGCTTTGCTAGGCCATTTGCAGGGAGTTGGATCTGAAAAGTGGAGCAGCTGGGGCTTGAACCGGTGTCCATATGGAAAGCTGATGCTGCACACCCAGGATTAGCCTACTATTCTACGGGGCCAGCCTCTAGGGGAAATTTGTTCAAAAATCATCTCCACCTCCCAGGCTTCCACTGGTTCCTCTGTCACTAGAAAGGAATCCTCAAGTCTTGTTAACTGGTTCTTTTGCTGTCTCTGTGTCTCATTTCAGAGGAGCTTGTGTGGGAAGGGGTGGGTGGGATAGGAAGGCGTGTGTGTGTGTGTGTGTGGTGGGGAGAGGCTGCTGTGACCTACTTTTCTGTAGTCAGCAGGATTTTGGCGATTACTCCTGCCCTCTGCCCTGTGTGCTCTTCCCTCCATGCTTTACTCAGTGGACTTCAGCCCTCCTGGCTGCTTTTGCTACACATTGCAATTGCTTGGGGAATGTCTAAAAAAAAAAAATACTGTTGTCCTACTCACGGACATTGGAATTTAGTTAAAGCATGAATTGGGCATTGGGATTTTTATGAGGGGCTCCTAAGGGCTTCACAGTTTGTGAAACACTAACTTAGGGGCTGGAGAAATAAGCCTAGACAAGGGCGTTGGCTGGCGTTGGGGTACAGTAGGTTAAGCTCCCACCTTTGATGCCAGCATCCTGTACTAGAGCTCCATTTTGAATACCTGTTGCTCTTGTTTCCCAACCAGCTTCCTGTTAATGTGCTGGGGAAGGCAGCTGATGATGGTGTCAATGTTTGGGCTCTTGCCGTCCATGACGGAGACCAGGAGATGGAATTCCAGGAGATGGAGAGTGAGCTAGCTGTTGGAAGATTTTTCACTTCTCTCTCTGTCATTCTGCCTTTTAAATAAATCAAAACTTTTTTTTTGATAGGTAGGGGGAATTGCCCACAGTAATGGAGATGACTTTTTGATGGCACCACAGTCACTTGTCCTACTCCTGTCCAGCTAGTGGCAGAACATGCACAGATGTTCAGCCTACTCCTGTCCTCCCCCGGCCCCAGCGGACTGGAGTCCCCTCGTATTGCCTCCTGCCTGGTGCGTTCTCATCCGGGAGGAGGCTGAAGCATGCAACTTGGTGCCCAGTGTGCTGGATGACACAGCCCTGCTTTTTCAGCTACATCGTTTCCCTGTCCTCATGTGGTTTGTTTCTCTGCTCTTGCACTCTCTCCTGATCAGCCCCTGGATGCAGGGAGCAGTTGGGCCATCCTTACCCTGTAAAACTGTTGTGATTTAGTCACGAATGCCCGCAGCCCGAGGGAGACCGCACTTGCGTAGCTTTGCAGTAACACTTCACTAAGGCGGTTTCTACTGGTGTGCTCTAGATTTTATCTTTCACACATCCTGGTTCCTTTTTTTTGACCTGCTCTATGTGAGGGTGAGCTATTTCCTGTTTTCAGTACAAATCAATTCTCTGTGTATATCAACGCCAGGAGTTATGGGAGAACAGAAAAGGAGATGGGAAATAGAGAATGGATATTTTGAGTTTTTGTCAAAAATCTGGCAGCTCTCAGGTGATTGTGTCTTTCTTTCTGGGCTGGCAATCGCTGGTGTGCTGGGCGAGGGGTCAGAGGTGAACACACAGCTACAGAACTAAACCTAGAATTCGATACAAGACCAACCCACTGTCTTCTCTCTCAGTGCACATTAGCGTCCCTGGGGCTCACCCCAGTGCAAAGGACCCATCTCTGTGTTGTAGTCAAGGTGGAGGTGTTTGGGAAGACGCCCAAGCTGATTATTGGATGTGTAGCCAGCCTCGGACACAGTGTATGGGCTAGCTGTTTGGAACCCAGTGGTGGGGGAGAACGCTTATTGCCGGATGTAAAATGCCTTTTTGTTCTGTGGCTGAAAAAGATGATTTGTTTTTGAGACTCTGGCCTGAGATTCCTGGAAGAGAAACAGTTCTGCCTTTTTCAAGGTCATCCTCTCCCCCTTTAAGGAAAAAAGAAAACAGTTCATCCTCTCTTATCCCGAGGCATATTGTTTATTTTAAGTTTATCTTTTCCTTCTGTGGACAACATTCTTCAAATGCCTGTTTTGGCCTGGGAACTTTATGATAGCGTGTAGGCAAGCAGTGTTGTGTTCTGGGGGTGGAGGGTTCCTATTGCTTGTAACAAGCTTTCTGGTGTGTGTGTAGGACAGTACCATCAGGGTCCCCTGGAAGCATGTGGGAAGTAAGTGCCAGTCATCTACCCCAATTCATAGGCCTACCAGTCTCTTTTTAAAGATTGATTTTATCTTTATTGGAAAGTCAGATATACAGAGAGGAGGAGAGACAGAAAGATCTTCCGTCTGATGATTCACTCCCCAAGTGAGCGCAACAGCCGATCCGAAGCCAGGATCCAGGAACTTCTTCCAGGTCTCCCACATGGGTGCAGGGTCCCAAGGCTTTGGGCCGTCCTCGACTGTTTTCCCAGGCCACAGGCAGGGAGCTGGATGGGAAGTGAGGCTGCTGCGATTAGAACCAGTGCCCATATGGGATCCTGCGGCGCTTTCAAGGCAAGGACTTTAGCTGCTAGGCCACTGCGCCAGGCCCAGGGATATCTTTCTTAAAGCATCCAATCAGCAGACCACGTTCTGGTTGGTGTGCAATACAAATCATCAATCAGGTTAAGCTCAGATCACACATTAAGTCAATCAGCTAGCAAGCATCTTAAATGAAGCAGATAAATGTAGTTAACTTTGCTCAAAACTTAGTCAAGGAGCCAAAAATGGAGTCACATCTGACCAGTGTTAAGGCGTGCTATCTCCCGCCTGTAGCCCATCACTTGTGAGCCCCTTCCTCTGGATGTGAGTGGCTTGGATGGGCTTGGAAAAGCCTGGAAGTGCAGGGTTCCAGGCAGAGAAGCCTCATTAGGCCAGCTGGCTGTCTTTAGCTATTTGGAGGAAGTGCTGGTTTCAGGGACCTAGTTAGTGGTGCCTTCCTTGGCCAGCACGGGGCAGAGCCAGGACATGTTCTAGTCTTGCAACTTGCTGTGATTTGCAGAGAGGTGCCCTTGGCTTGGCTCCCTGATCAGGATTTCTGGGAAAGCAAAAGCTTCTTCATTCCTCTTTCAGGGAGTTGTCAATCATCTCAGAGCCTGTGGGCAGAACCTGAGCAGGGGTGGAGTGTTGTAGCCCTGTAATTTTCAAATTGTATCAAAATGTTAATGGATTGTCCCTGGAAACAGTGGAGTGATTTATGCCTTATGAGTTTCAAACACATCTAGTCAAGTTCTAAGAAAGGGGATTTCTGCTTTGGGCCCGAGACGAGACTGTAGAAGTCTGTAGATATCCCCTCCTGGGAGTTGGGGCAGCGGACTGGGTGTTAGCTCCCCTGATGAGAGTCTGGGTGTATGGACTGAGGCGGGGATACAGGGCAGAACCCTGAAAGGGAGCTGAGGTCAGCCTTATCAAGGAGTGCCAGAAATCCACTGAAAGCCAAGGACACAGGGTGGAGAGAGCCAAGGGAGGGCCTGCCTGGGAAAAGGACTGGGAGAGACTCATCAGCGCCTGCCCAGCTACCCTGGACTTTTCTTTTTGTTGGATTATTTCTACATTGCTGATCAGGGTGGGAAGCATCAAGGGCCAGGGAAAAGTGGATGTGATCACCACCTCCAAATATTCAACCTTTTCTTCCTGTGTCTGGGGGAAGGGAAGAGACCAGGGAAGATGTCATACTCAGCCTCCCGACCGCCCCAGCACTATGGGATGGGGAGCGGTCTCCCATATTGACCCAGGGTCCCAATGTGGTACATGCTCTGGGCTCTGCCCAAGTGGTCTCAGTAGTTCTGAAATGCTGATCCAAGGATGAGGGAACCCACCCAATGTCCATTGGCTGTCACAGTCAACCCTAGAGTCCTCACTCATCCTGATGTTTGCTTTCATCGCTTGCTGGGGTAGTTGTCCAACCTGCCCTGTTCTTCCCCCTCTGCTGTGGTACCAGATGTCCTCTGCAGGCTCCAATGGACTGCTGTATCCTCCATGTCCACTGCTCCATCTTTTCCAACAAAGAGGGCGAGTTTTGCAGGGAGCAAATATAATATGAATATACAGATTTATATTTAATATAAATCAAGACTTTTAAGTTACATACGTATGTGGATATGTGTGTATATCTACATACATACTAACTTTTAAAATTATTTATTTCATTTGAAAGGCACAGAGAGAGACACACAGACACATCTCCCAGTTGGTTACTTCCATAAATGCTTGCAGCATGCAGGTGTCGTGCCAGGCTAAAGGCAGCAACTGGTCACTCAGTCCATGTCTCCCCTGTGGATGGGAGGGACAGAATGATCGCAACCATTGCTGCTACCTGCCTGGAGCCAGGAGTCAGGCAGGAGATGGGATTAGAACTCAGCCCTCCAGTACTCCTTAGCTGTCCTAACCGAGGGGGTCAAAGGCCACCCCCTAAGCCTGTGCTCCCCTCCAGGAGGTCCAACCTGTAGTGTTTACCAGAGGATCTGGGCTTGGATCTCCCTTTACTGGAAGTGTCAGGAACGCATTCTTCTGCTGGGCTTCCCTGAAGTGGCATCATTGAGTCTTGTCATGTTTTTCTTCCAGGAATTTATGCAAGTATTCTCACGATGTTCTCTCAGAAGATAACTTCAAAATCCTGAAAAATCATGAACTCTCAGGACTGAATCACGAGGAGTTAGCGGTGCTCCTGGTCCAGAACGACCCCTTTTTCCTGCCTGAGGTAAGTAGCAGTGCCTGTGTTCCAGAAGCAGGGAGAGGGTCTCTGGCAGCCTCGTGGCGTGGAGCTGTGTTGCAAGTCTGAGCCACGTGGAGTGAGTCTGCAGGTGGTGGCTGGGGCAGACTCCAAAGATCCTAGCTGCTTTTCTCCCACGTGCTTCTACAACCAAGCAGCTGACGAGTCCCCATGTGAGCAACCAGAAGCCCAAGATGCAATAGGAGGACAGATGGATGCTTTAATCCAAGGGGCCCTCCCAGTAGATGAAAAGTGACGGCAAGGAGGAGGTGTGGTAGTAGAGGTGCTCACTACCCTCCCCCCAAACACAGTGACCCACACCCATCCTGTAATTTACCTCCTCTTTGACTAGCTGGTCTAGATAAGAGGCCAGCAATCTGTAGACTACAGCCCAGCTCTGGTGTGCCTCTCGGTTTTTATGATGAAAGGGTTACTGCAACACGGCAGTGCCTGGGCTTGTATGGCTGTCTAAGGCTGCTGTCCTGGGGCAGGGTGGGCTGAGTCACTCCAGCAGAGGCCCAGATGGTCCTTTCCAGCAGAAGTTTGCCAGTTCCTGGTTTTACCCGGATAGGGGCAGGTAGACAACCAGAATGTCAGGTGGCTGAACTCCATGATGACATCAGCGGACTCAGGCCACTTGTACAGCTCAGGTTATCTTCAAAATGTGGCTTCCATTTGTTTTTGTTGTTGCTATTTTGTAGCTATTGGGAGTATAAAGAGGAAGTGGAAGGCAAGGCAAGCAGTGTCCCTTTGAAAAGGTGTCATGTGAATTTCATATATAGCACATTTAGCCACAGCTCATGGGCCAGAGCCTATCACACATATACCAAAGGGAGTTGGAAAGTGTATCTTCTGGCTGAGTAACCATTTGTCGACCTAAACCCTGAGAGCTTTTGTCACTAGAAGAGAGATGGAGGCAGTGGACAGTTCAGAATCTCAGCCATTCAGAAGTCTGGGGCTGGCCACTGGTTCACTCCCTAAATGATTACAATGGGTGGAACTAGGCCAGTTCAAAGCCAGGTGCCCAGAGCTTTTTTCACGTCTCCTACATAGGGGCTTCAGAAGCCCAAGCACTTGGGCCATCCTCTGCTTTGCCAGGTGCTTCAGCAGGGAGCTGACTCAGAAGTGGAGCAGCTGGGACTTGAACTGGCACTCTTATGTGATGCCGGTTCTACAGGTCATTAAACCCTGATGGGTTTCACTTCCTTTGCTGTGTGTTTCACTTCCGTTAAGACTTAGGGATGCCTGCATGTGCTGAACGCCAGCTTAAGTGCTGATGGCAGCAATAGGCAAGGGGTACTCCTTGCTCGAAAGAAACTTGTTACATTTTCTCACTTTCCGTTAAGGTAAAAGCATTAGGCAAACCTGATTACGTGGCATGTAATATAAGCTTGTAAAACTATAGGATGTTTTTTATTTTTAAATTTTTCTTGGAAAGGCAGAGAGAAGGAGGTAGAGATAAAAATCCTCTGCTGATTCACTCCCCAAGTGGCCGCAGTGGCTGGGGCTGAGCTGATCTGAAGCCAGGAGCCAGGAACTTCTTCCAGGTCTCCCATGTGGGTACAGCATCCTAAGACTTTGAGCCATCCTCCTCTGCTTTCCCAGGCCTCATTTAGGGAGCTGGATGGGAAGTGGAGCAGCCAGGACATGAATAGGCACCCACATGGGATCCTAGCTTGTGCAAGGCAAGGATTTAGCCGTGGACAATCATGCAGGGCCCACTAGAATATGCTTCTTAAAGGAAGAAATGATTTCACTTGTTCTGGCCTGCTCAAGGCAGGAGCACTCTTCCCTCAGTATCAGCGAGGCGGCAGGAGTATCCAGAGCATCTCCGGTGTTGTTGCTGGCTGTCCAGTTCTGCACAAGCCTCCAGGATACTGGTTCTCAGGCCTCACTGTGCATTTCCAGAGGGATTTTGCCAACACACAAGTTGGAGACTGTTATGGAAAGAAGACTGTCAGGGACCCGACAGCCCCTGTGGAAGAGGAAGAGACTCACAAGATCCTGAACCCCTTTGGTCTCAAGCTTCTCTAGAGCAAATGTCTGGGCTTTGGTGCAGTGGAAACAAGCCAGCAAGAGGGAAGCCACAGAAGCAAATACCTAACAGTTAGCCTTGAGCTGTCACAACTCAGTTCCAGTGTTCCTGTCTGGTTGGTATTTTATCTGAGTCAGCCGGCCAAACTGGCCTGTTTCTGCCGTGACTCACAACAGACTGCTGCGTGGTTTTCGTGGGAGCTCTTCCCCATGTGGCCTGTATGCAAGTCTGTTTTCTTGCCTTACAGTCCTGCTCTCTGCCTCAGGACCCCACCCTAGGAGGTCTGGCCCTGTAGATATGGGCAGGGCCCCAACATTTCATTTTGAAGAACTTTAGTTGCAGGTGGTGTCGGTGGATGGTGCTTGTGCAGGGACTATACTTTGAGAACCAATATAGTCCAGGGTCAAGAGGCTGCATAATAGACTGTAACAATTGTAATGGTCTAAATTGGGTTTCAGATGCTGCCTGTATGATTAAATATTCCTGGAATTGGGATCCATGGCTTTGATGTCTGTACAAATCATGGAGCCCCATATTGACCTGGTTTGCTCAGAGTCTGATGAAACAACTTAAAAAATATTTTAATCTTCAGAATGTCTGAAATTCAGGTTGTGATTTTTTTTGCTAGTCATATTGGTTTCCCAGTAGTTACAACATTTTATCACCCTTTATATTTTATAAAACACTAACTTGTTATTTAGTCTGTAGAGAGGAAAATATTTGTTTTTTTAAAATTAATTATTTTACTTTTATTTGAAAGGTAATTAGGAAAGGAGAGAGAGATCTTCCAACCATTACTTCACTCTCCAAATGGCCACAATGGCTGGAGCTGAGCTGATTTGAAGCTTGAAGCCAGTAACATCTTCTGGGTCTGTCTCATGGGTGCAGGGACCCCAGGACTTGAGCCACGCTCCACTGCTTTCCCAGGCCATAAGCAGGGAGCTGAATAGGAAGGGGAACAGCTGGGACATGAACCAGCACCCAGAAAGGATGCTGAAAACACAGGCAGAAGCTTTGTCCAATGTACCATGGTCCAGCTCAATGTTTAACTCTTGCTACAGCAAAGGAAGCAGAGACTGGGAGCAGGTTGCTGGGTCCCCTGAAGTCACAGAGCTGCTTAGAAAGAATCAGATTTTGAAACCAGTGTCTTCCAGTGTGTGGCCTGCTGTCGGTGGCAGTATTCCATCTAGCTGTGGAATACATAGGTGATCTTGGGAGGAATTTCACATGCTGCCAGCAGACTAAATCTTGGATTCTAACAGTTATGTGTGGGATGCACAAGTTCTTCTGCTGCAAACTGAATTGACCTCCCAATACAGCCCTTCTTCCTTTGGGTTCCTTTATAAGGTAGGTCCTACTTGGCATCCTGTTTTGTAGCTGCCCATGGGATCTTGAGTGTTCTGCAGGCTATCTACTTCCTCCTAGCCTGCAAGCCTCTTCTGTCCCAGATGACTCATCAGTGGATTGCAAAGACTGTGGGATGTGCCCGGGTTTGTTTCCCCTTGCTTTATCTCTGCTTGCTCCAGAAGTTGCGTGTGAGCTTTCCTTTATGCATGTGTGGCAGATGCAAGAGTTGCTTTTTGTTGTTGTTGTTTTGTAGATTTGCAAAACTTACAAGGGAGAGGGTCAGAAGCAGATTTGTAACCAGACGGGATGTGAACGACTCCACATCTGTGAATACTTCACCCGTGGGGAATGTTCTTACCTCAACTGCCTGAGGTCCCATAACCTGATGGACAGAAAGGTGCTGGCTGTCATGAAGACACATGGGCTGAGCCCAGATACAGTTCAGAACATCCAAGACATCTGCAACAGCCAGCATGCCCGGAGGAACGCCTCTGGCTCCAAAGGTAGATACCTTTTCCTTTTGAAGTGTCCAAGCTTCCTTCTTCTGTATGTGTGTGTGTGTTTTTAAGATTTATGTATTTTTATTGGAAAGGCAGATTTGCAGAGAGAAGGAGAAAAAGAAAGATCATTCATTTGCTGGTTGACTCCCCAAGTGGCCTCAGTGGTTGGAGCTGAAATATGAACCGGCACACACATGGGATCTTGGTGGATGCAAGATGAAGATTTAGACATTAGGCTATTATTGTGCCAGGCTCACCCTTTATCATTTTTAAAAAAGTTTTCAAAATTTTTATTTGAAAGAGAGGGAGAGAGAGGCAGAGAATTTTCCATCTCTTGGCCTGTTTCTCAAATGCTGATGATGACCAAAGGTAGGTCAGGCCAAGACCAGGAACTTGGTACTAACTCTGGGTCTCCTATGTGAGTGGCAGGGATCCAAGTACATGGAGCATCACTTGCTGCCCTCCAGCATACACGCTAGCAGGAAGCTGAATAAGGAATGAGAAAAGGACTTGGATGACATACTCCAAAATGGGTTGTTGGGGTCTTTCTCTAGGTCTTGCTTTTAAGATTTTAATATTTTTATTGGAAACACAGATTTACAGAGATGGAGAGACAGAGAGAAAGATCTTCCATCTGCTGGTTCACTCTCCAAATGGCTGCCGTGGCTGTATCAGAGCCATCCAAGCTGATCCAATGTTAGGAGCCAGGAGCCTCTTCTGATTCTCCCATTTTGGTTCAGGATCCCATCCTCTGCTGCTTTCCCAGGCCACGAGCAGGGAGCTGGATGAGAATTGGAACAGTCAGGACTCGAACTGGCATCTATATGGGATTCTGGAGCTTCTAAGGGAAAAATTAACCAATTGAGTCAAACCCTCATGCGATATATTTTTAGAGATTATTTATTTTTTCTTGGAAAGGCATACTTACAGAGAGAAGTAAAGACAGAGATTAAAATCTCCGGTCCGCTGATTCACTCAAGTGGCCACAACGGCTGGAGCTGAGCCTTTCCAAAGCCAGGAGCTTCTTCCGGGTCTCCAATGTGGGGGAATCCCAAGGCCTTGGGCTGCTCCCTTGCTTTCCTAGACCACCAACAGGGAGCTGGATGGGATATGGAGCAGCTGGGACACAAGCAGCACCCATATGGGATTCTGGTGCGTGCAAGGCGTGAGGGCTTTAGCCGCTAGGCTACCATCCTGCTGGACCTCACCTGTGACATCTTACCTGCTATACCAAACTTTGGTGTTTAAAGCATTTGATGTATACTCCTGATGACATTTCATACTTCAGAACTAGGCCATTCTACATAACCACAATAAAATGCAGAAAATTAGCATTAATGTGAAACCATATGCAAATTAATTTACAGTCCACAGTGTTATTTCTTAAAAAAAAAAAATGTTTTTTAAAATTGGGACCAGAGCCATGGCTGGGCCCAAATTGATCAATCTTAAAAACAAAACAAAACAAAACTGAGAGATAAGCAAGTGAATGAGATTTGACAGACCAGGTGGGCCATTCAGCAGGAAACCCAGTGCCCGATCTGTGTTGGTCCTGGAGTTTTAGGGGGATGAAATGTATGTCTCTGTCTCCCAGTCCTCAGTGTTTCCCTGCAGTGTCGTTAGTCAGGAGGTATTGGGCACAAAGCTTCCATGTGGCTGAGTGGGACTGTGCATGTTTAAATGTTAGGTTGCTCTCACGTCAGCCCATCCCCCTCCCTCACTGAACCATGTGAATGTCTCCTTTTTGCCTCTTCTTACACACATGGGCTCATTTCTGTCTCCATGCCTAACACGTTTAGTTCTTTTGGATACATAACTGAATGTGGAATTGTTGGATCATATGATAATTGTGTATTTAATTCATTTGAAGAGCAGAGTGATAAAGAGAAAGGAAGAAATAGAGCAAGAAAGAGGTCTGCCATCTGCTGGGAAACTCCTCAAATGGCCGCAACTCTCAGGGCTGGACCAGGATAAAGCCAGGGGCTAAGGGTTTCATCCAGATGTTCCCCTGGATGGCAACAATCTAAGCACTTGAGCCATCTGCTGTCTCCCCAGGCACACGGCAGGGAGCTGAATCAGAAACAGAGTGGATGGGACTTGAATTGACACTGAGATGCCAACATCACAGGCGGTGCTTTGACGTGTCACATCCCAGGGTGCACATGAAGCTGAAATTAAGAGCAGAGCTGGGACAGACTTGAACCCAGGCACTCTGACCCGGGTTGTAGCTATCCCAAGTGGGATCTGTGTGTTTATTATTTATTTATTATTATTTTTAAATGTAATGTATTCTTTCTTTGTTTCATTCATTCATTTATTCATTATTTAGTTCAGAGGCTGATGGAAAGAATTATCCTAATCTCTAGTCCCCCCCCCCCCGTGCCCATATCAGCTGGGTCTGAGCCAAGCTGAAGCTGGAAACTTGGGTATGGAATGGTTGGCAAAGCTGGAAATGCTAGGAGGAGGAGTAGTGGAAGAATGGTAGTCAGGTTCATGCTGCTTTTCATTTTGTTTCATTTTGGTTTGCCTTTTTCCAGCTCCTCCCTCGCATCATCATCATCGAAGGCCAAGGGTGAAGACAAATAGAAACAGAAGCAAGAGTAAAGACCGACACTTTCATTACGGCAGCCAAGAGTTTGTTTCATCTGCTTTGGCTTCTCAGAGGTCTTGCACATCCAGTCCAGATCCCATCAGTTATGAATCTCCCTTGGAGGATGAGCCTGTGGACAAACTCACACACAAGCTGGCCGAGCTAGAGAGCAACGCCCATGCTGAGCCTTCCTCAGGCTTGGCCAACCCTGCTGACCTTACAGGACAAGGAAAGGTGGAGGATGGCCAGAGGTTCCCAGCTGATGCCAGGGTGGGCAGCCTCCTGAATGGGAATCACAGCAATACCAACTCCAACTCCACTTCTATCCCTGAAGGCTCCAGGAAACCTGCAACTACAAATAGCATGTTTTGGCCTGATCTCAAGAACACCAACGGCAAAAGTAGAGTGGCAGACAGCCTCCACGTCCCTCTTGGTAATGATGCTAATGCAGGGGCCCCAGAAACAGCTTCCTCAAGATCTGCAAATTTCAAAACAGTTATGGAAGCTCAAAGAGAAATCCCATCAAGCAGGATTCAAAAGGCCCCAGGAACTAGCCCCTGGGATTCCCCAAGCACTGGGAAAATGAGACATGCCGAGGACCCAGGCGTGGTATTTCCGTATGAGAAAGACAGAGAAAGTATATTCCAGGCTAAGCAGTCTCTCTCCAACCCATCAAATGTCTCTGGGAAGATTATAGATCAAAGAGCTGATGTGGCTAAAACTGTGGCCCCTGATTTGGGCATAAAGATGGCAGTTACTGTGGAAAAACAGACAAGCTCTGGAAGTCAGAGCCCGACAACCCATGACATGGCCACTTCTCGGGAAAATGCTGCATCTGCCCGAGCCAGAATTCTGAATCTACCCTCCCCACCTTCTTCAGGCCCCAGAGCTGCAGCCTCTGAGACCAATGGTCAGAACTCTGCCCAGGTCTCTGTCAACCAAGCCAATGAATTCACAAGGAGGACTCCAGACTCTACCCGTGGTAAGTCATGAAACTAAGGGCACTCCTGTGTCTTGGTTCTGTAGCACAGCGACTGTGCCTGGTGACGTCTCTTTCAGATGTCTCCCAGCAGTAATTATAGGACTAGAGTTAGGGGATTTTACTTAAGGTGAGGCATTGGTGAGGAGACAGGGAGAGATCTGCTGGTAAAGCTGCATGGACCAGGCTGCTCTGTTGACTGAGAAAAGGAATAGTTCAACTGTGGTTTAAGAAATAAGCATCCTTCTTGTGTGACTCCAAGGCTCCTGTTTCATTTTCTGGAGGGGCTGTCTGGACCTTTATGAGCAACACACGAATCCAAGGAACTTCCTTGAACATGGCCCCTGTTTCAGGCAGCTTTCCTTGTATGAGGCTAGGTGTCTTTTTGTTTTATATGTAAATCTCAGCAAACCATCCTCTTCTGTTTTATAGCTTCCGTATCTGATGTCTCGAGTCCCGAATCTTCCAAGATGAATGATCACAGCTCAAAGGAAATTTGTCTTGACTATTTGTATAATGGTTGTCGACATAATAGTGAGTAGCAAAAGAACTTTTTTTTTATAACTCATTTATTTTTATTTGAAAGGCAGATTCACAAAGAGAAGGAGAGAAAAAGAGAAAGATCTTCCATCTGCTGGCTTGCTCCCCAAATGACCACAAAGACCGGAGCTGAGCCTATCTGAAGCCAGGAAAAAGCTTCTATCAGGTCTCCCACTGGGCACAGCGTCCTAAGGACTTGGCTCGTCCTCTGCTGAGTGGGGCAGTCAGCAGTGGAACTTGGTTGGATTGGTTTGGACCCTGGCTAAACAGTCCTTCCCTCTTTTCTTTGTAGGCAGCTGCAATCGAATGCACTTCAACTTGCCTTACCGGTGGCAGTTGTTCATTGCAAACAACTGGGTGGACTGTAAGGACATGGAAAGGATTGAGGAGGCTTACTGTGATCCCAAAGTTCAGATGTAAGTTGATGGCTGTCCTCTGGCTTGTGCAATTGACAACATCATCAACGGGAAACATAGCGCTAAGCTTCTGGGAAAAAAAAAAAAAGAAAACATACCTTGCCTCCTTGCCTTTAGAATTTTAGAAGTTAAGAAGTTTCAAATAACTTCTTTTTGGTAATACTTATTGATTTTTATTGGAAAGGCAGATTTACACAGAGAAGGAGAGATAGAGAAGAGATCTCCTTGTGCAGATTCACTCCTGAAATAGCCACAACAGCCAGAGATGAGCTAATGTGGAGCCAGGAGTTTGCAGCTTCTCCTGAGTCTCCCACATAAGTGCAGGATCCTAAGGACTTGGGTCATCTTCTGCTGCTTTCTCAGGCCATAAGCAAAGAACTGGATTGGAAGTGGAGAAGTTGGGACAGGAACTGGCACTCATATGGGATGCCAGCACTTGCAGGTGGAGGATTAGCCTGTTCAGCCACTGCACTGTCCCCTCAGATAACTCTTTAACGCAATATGGTAAATAGCTACAAAATGAAAAAAAAAAATACAAGCTGACTCAGTTTGAAGTTGTACTAAGCCTGGATAATTACTGGGAATTCTGGAAATATTAGTTAACTAAGCAACTTAAACAATGACATAATTTGTGGAATTGATTTCTCTCCATTTCTCTCCATTGTGCCCTACAGAGCAAATGAAATGCAGAAGTTGGTGTACAATTGTAACAGCTTATCACTAAATGATTAAAAATACTAAATGGTTTAGAACAGGATAGACTTTGGCTGAAGGTCATGTTTTTATTCATTTACTTTAAAAAGATTTTTATTTATGTGAAAAGCAGAGTTACAGAAAGAGAAAGGAAGAGATTAAAATCTTCCATCTGCAGGTTTACTCCCAATGGCCACAACAGTTGGGGCAGTGCCAGGTCAGAGCCAGCGGCCAGGAGCTTCTTCTGGATGTCCTTTGTGGATGTAGGGTCCCAAGGACTTGGGCCAATAGCTGCTGCTTTTCTACATGCATTAACATGGAGCTGGGTTGGAAGTGGAGCAGCTGGGAGTTGAACCGGTGCTAATATGGGATGCTGGTGCCCCAGATGGTGGCTTTACCCATTATGGCACAGTGCTGATCCCAAGGCCGTGATTTAAAGCATGATTTTGGTAATTTCCATTAGCCCTAATCCAGGATTTTGTTGTATACATTTGCTCCTTTTTTTTAATTGTTTAAGATATTTCTTTCTGTTAGAAAAATAGATTTACAGAGAAGAGAGACAGAAAGGTCTTTCAACTGCTGATTCACTCCCTAAGTGGCCACAATAGGCAGAGCTGAGCCAGTCTGAAGTCAGGAGCCAGGAGCTTGTTTGGGATCTCTTAGGCAGGTGCAGGATCCCAAGGCTTTGGAACATCCTTTCCTGTTGCTTTCGCAGACCATAAGCAGGGGATTGGATGGGAGGTGGAGCAGCGGGGCACTAACTGGTACCCCTATCAGATGCCTGTGCTTGCAAGCAGAGGATTAGTCAATTGAGCCACTGTGCCCCCCCAGGGGGGCTCACATTTGCTCACTTTTAAAAATTGTTAAGATTTTTTAAAGATTTGTTTATTTTTATTATAAAGTCAGATATAAAAGAGGAGAAGAGACAGAGAGGAAGATCCTCCATCTGATGATTCACTCCCCAAGTGACCACAACAACTGAAGCTGCACTAATCCAAAACCAGGAGCCAGGAACTTCCTCCGGTCTCCCACGTGGGTACAGGGTCCCTAGGCCTTGGGCCGTCCTCTACTGTTTTCCCAGGCCACAAGCAGGGAGCTGGATGGGAAGTAGAGCTGGCAGGATTAAAACTGACACTCACATGGGATACTGGCAAGTTCAAGGCAAGGATTTTAGCTGCTAGGCCACTGTGCCCGCCCCCTAAATTTTTTTTAAATTTTATTTTTGATGATGTTTACATAGTTGAGAAGGATGCATGCCCATGTGGATCACTGATAAGGATGGGAAGGGTAGAGCATCAGGGGAAGGTGGTTGAGACAGTTGTTTTTAATTTTCGTTTTCTTCTTCCTGTATCTGAGTGAAAAGGGAGAGAAGGGAGAGGGCTGTACCACATCAGTACCTGAAGATGGGGTCTGCCACTCAATGTTATCTCAGGGTCCACAATGTGGAACATATTCTGAGGGTATTGCTCATGTGGTTTTGATAGTTCTGAAATGCTATTGATTTCATTGCTCCAAAGATGAGGAGATCTTTCCAAGGTCCATTGGCTGATGTAGTCCACTGCAGGGTCTCTACTTGCCCGGATACTGACTGTCAATGCTTGGACGGGAGAGTTGTCCAATTTGTTCTGACCTCCACCCTCTGCCCCCCATGCTACCAGACATCTTCTGTAGGCCTTAATGAGCTGTCTTGTCCATCACGTGCATCTGGGCATGCCATCCACTGCATGGCTTCCGCAGCTGAGGCAGCCCAGTTCTGACATGTGTACTCCACGGTCATATCACAGATCTTGTGATTTTTCCCATGGTTGGAGTTTCAAGTCCAGCAGTCCAGTTGGAGGAGTCCTCAAAGAAACCTCACTATAGATGACTCCAGACCTGACTCCTTTGGTTTGGCAGTCAACATCAGTCTGTCACTACATCAGCCTACATCTACACTGGGGTTGGAACAATGTCCGGGCCAGTTCGCCGTCCTTGTTCTGTCACTCACCTTCACCAGTGGGAACCACAGTCCAGCTGGGGCATTCTCTTAGTTCCCAGACCAGGCCTGCTCCCAGCCATAGATCTTGTGCATGCCAGTGATTGTTCTGACCCATCCTGACACAGTCCATCCCCTGTCTTGACCTTTGCCATAGTTTACTGCAGCCTGGCTTGTCCTGGCCTGCTCCCAGTCCCAACTCTCACTGGTTGGTGCTACTGCCTAGCCCTGCCCAGTCTGCCCCCATCCTTGGCTTCCATGCAAACTGGTAGGTGTGATAGCCTAGCCCAACAAGGCCCACATCCCCTCCTGGCTCCTGCACATGCCAGTGTGTTATGGCCTTGCCTGGTCCACCCCCAGCCCCCTTTTCCTAAGAGCCAACCCATACATCTGCTGAGAAGTTGAGTAGCCTTGCCCTACCTGACCAACACCCAGCACTGTATCATGTGCTCACCAGCAGGAGCTGTGGCCCACGGGGGAGCTCCCCAAGTTCTCCTAACAGGTCCACTCCCAGACCCAGATCCCATGTATGCCAGTGAGTACTAGGCCCTATTGGGCATAGTCTGCCCCGCCTCTGTTTTGGCTTTTGTGTATGCTAGTGGATGTTGCAACCTGGCCTGTCCCACCCACAATTCTTGGATGTCTCTGAAGGTGCTGCAGCCTGGACCAGCCCAGCTTGGACCCAAACGCAATACCCATGAGGGTGGATGAGTTCCATAGTCATACCTAGCTTGACTCATTATCAACCCAAGCTCTTGGGCAAACCAGTGGGTATTGCATTCCACAGGGGTGAGCCCATATATACCCCCTCAGAATTTACCTCAGACCTGGTTCTGTCATTTACTGGTTAGTGACCCATCCTCTGTTCTGACACTCATTGGTAGGTACTGTGGTCCAGCCTTGCCAGAAGGCCCCAAGCCCCAGCTTTTGTTTGGGTAATAGTTGATGCTAACTAGCCCAGCTCAGGTCTCCCATGTGGGTGAGTCTACTAGTCTGACCCAGAAAGGTCCTCCAGTTTCATCCATGAAACTGCTCAGTCTCAGCTCCCTTGCTTACCTGCAAGTACAGTGGCCTTGTTGGTGGAAGTCCTCCAGAAGTCACTTCTCAACTGCAACATTCTCCATCAATGAGTGGTCTCTGCTCTCCCACATCCCATACACCGTTTCCCTAAACAATCCATAACCCCCACATCTGGGAGCACATGAGCTCCCTGGTTGGAAGCTCTAGTGGGATGGCATGCTAGCCTAGAGCCCTGCCTACCTACCCAGAACCCCAGTGCATGCACAGGTCCCCAAACCAGGCCCCTGGCGCATGTGCTTGCCTGGGACCCTACCCCTTTGCCTGTCTGGGACCCAAGCACTTACTTGCTTCCCCAGGTCCATGCGTCCATGCTGGCCCAGGCCCCAATATGTGTACAAGTGTCCAAACCCACTGTCAACCACCACTTCTTGCCAGCAAGGCAGCTAGGAACCTACAGCTCCCCCTTCTTGCTCTGCCCCCAACTGAAGTACACGCGGGAGTCCCACCCAGCTGGCCCTGGCCCCTGGCAAGTAAGCTGCCTGCCTGCCTGGGTAGCAGAAGGAAAAGAAGGCTGTTTGCTCCTTCTATCTTCCCACCTTTTGTTCTTTTCCTTGGACTGGAAGTATAAATATCTCACAGTTTTGCTTCTGTCAGAGTGGAAATGGGTGATACCCACCAGACCCCATTTGCTTACCAAGTGCAGGGATGGCAGACGCATCCTGCTTTGGTAAAGCAATCCTTCGGGGGAAATATTTCATCATGTGCCAATTTAGTGGTTTTGTTGGCATTTCTGTGTTGATGCATTTTGCCACCAGAGGGTGGCATCCACAGTTTTTTTTCTTCCTAGGAATATATTTTTTTCTCCTTTAAGTCAGTCTAGAAGTTTCTCCACTTGTCACCCTTGAGATTTGGGGTCCAGATACTTTTTTTTTCTGAAGTCTGTTAGTAGCACTTCTGGCTGTCTTTGGGATTCTGATAAGCACTTCCCTTTTCATTGACTCCAGCTGTGATTAAAAACATGTCTTCAGCAGGATGCTGTCAGATGTTCCTAGCACAAAATTGCTCCTGACTGAGAACAGCGAATCTAAAGAGACCATCCTTGGAGTAGTTCTAAACATTTTGCACTCCAAATCCCCTTGATGCTCTTAAAATGTGTTAAGATTGCCAAGAATTTCTGTTTCTGTTGTTTCTAGCTATCACTGTTAATCTCATTAAATTAAAGCCAAGGAGGGAAAAGGAGGAATCCCTGTACCCGTGAAACCGTGTCATGGAAAATAACAACAAGAATAAAAACATTCAAACTGAGAAAAAATGAAACGCTTGCTTCAAAGTGACAGTAAACTCATTCCTGTTCATATGAATTGTATTCATATGTACCTATGAAATAAATGTGGTTATACACATATACCTATATATGAATACTTCTATTTGTTTTCTTAAACCAAAAAATTAACATGTGTAACATGGTTTTCTAGTTTCCAAATCTCTTTAACTCCTGGCATGATAAAAGACAAGTGGATGCTCATATCCGCTGCTTTATCTGTATGTGAAATCAAGCAGAAGAATAGCCCTCTGGGAAGCTCTCTTGAGGGCCGTAAGAAAACAAAAGTGAAAAAGGCAAATCATGCCTTCCTGGTTATTAGAAAAATAACTTTGACCATGAGGACCCCTTGAAAGGATCTTAGATTCCCAGCTCACGTTTGTGCATTGAGCCAATCAGTTGTTCTGTGCATGCTTTTATTTGGGGCTTTTTTGTTTTTTTCGGGGGAGGGAAGGAGGAAATAATGCATTTTGTGATACCATTAAATATATACCAGGGGCAAGTTACTTTATAAACTCTCTGTATTTCAGTTTTTTCTTTATTTATAAGATCTCTATAAAGAAAATGGAAGATAATTTTGCATCCTAAAGTTTCAGTTTCTGTTATGGAAGAAGAGAAGAAAGAGAATGGAGGTCAGGGAAGCATTTCAACTTTATATTTCTCTCTGATAGCATTTCTTTAGGAAACCATACCATCAATTTCCAGAAGATGATCTGTGATCGTACACTCATGCGCCGTATCAGCACGCCTTCAACCGTAACAGATTCCTTTTTTTCCATCTTTGCCACCAAATGGACTTGGTATTGGAGAAGTGAATCTAGCAAATGGATTCCATATGGAGAAAAGGTATGTCTCCTTCCTCATTGTGAACAGTGCTTATCTAAACTCATCAACTCAAAAAAATTAGCAAAACATTTCATGTTTACCCATGCAGAAAGAGATGGGATTGAGGAATTAATGGGATTTTTTTGCTCTATATGCAACTGTTAAAGGATTCATTTATTTTTATTAGACAAGCAAATCTTAGATTTATGGAGAGGAGAGACAGAAAGATCTTCCATCTGCTAGTTCTCTTCCCAGGTGGCCACAACAGCCGGAACTTAGGGCCAGGAGCTTCCTTTGGGTTTCCCACATGGGTGCAGGAGCCCAAGGACTTGGGTCATCCTCTCCTGCTTTCCCAGGCAATAAACAGGGAGCTGGACAGGAGATGGAGCAGCTGGGACATGAACTGGTGCCCATATAGGATCCTGGTGTCTGCAAGGTGAGGATATAGCCACTGAGCGCTGGGCCCCATATGCGGTCAAATTTGCATTTTTTTTTTTTTTTTGACAATTAGAGTGAGAAATAAAAACATTCCTACTATTTTTACAGATTTATATTATTTATTTGAAAGGGAGAGTTATATAGAGAGAGTAACTCCCCAAATGTCTGCTGTAGCTGTGCCTGTTTCAGATTGAAGCCAGGAGCCTTTTTGGGCTCCCAGTTGGGAGCACTTGGGCCGTCCTCTGCTGCTCTCCCAGGTGCATTAACAGGGATCTGGATCAGAATTGGAGCATCCAGGGTATGAACCAACACCCATATCAGATGCTGCCATTGCAGATGGAACTTTAACGTGCTATGCCAAGAGCTGACCCCCACAATAATTATTTTAAGGGGCATTAGGCTCAGTGGCTAAATCCTTGCAAGGTAATGGCAGGGATTTCCTAAAAGCCTACCCTGAAACCTTTGCCTGTTCTTTTTTTTTTTTTTTAATTAGGACAACAATCAGCCCGCTTCAAGTGTTGACTCTTTGTACCTGGAGTCTGTGTTTCAGTCCTGCCCCAGGGGAGTTGTGCCATTTCAGGCGGGTGTCCGAAGCTATGAGCTGAGTTTCCAAGGTAAGTGTTGGTGTTTGGCGATGTCGCGTGTGGAATTCAGCAAGTGTTGTATGTGTGGGAGCAGAGTATCCTGGATGTGCTCCCCCCGCCCCATGCCTGTGAGTGGTGGCCGATGACTCTTCTAGAGCCCAGTGACTTGTTGGGCAACCCTGGAAAAGGCAAGTGGTCATTCCAGTCCCAGTTGCCTCAACTGGAAAATCAAGGGATTGGACCAATAGACTCGGGTGCAGGGGAGTGGACTGAGCTTTGCCATGCTGAGCTTCTGACTCAGTGGAGGCAGCCCAGGCTGCAGCTGTTTTCTTTTTCTTCGTTGTTGTTGTTGCTGTTTTTTGTTTTCTTGGGGGGGGGGTTGTTTGCTTTTTACAAATGCTGATGACTACAGTCATGACCTTGGGACCTTTGAGCACCTGCAGAGTTTTGGAATCATCATCTAAGTCAGGGGTTCCACCCATCACTTTGACTGAAGTATTTTGTATTCCTCCATGTGCATTTGAGCCACTATAGAGAGGCTTTCCAGCTGACAGCTTCTCCCATGGACGGGCCTCCTTCTGAATGCACAACCCTAGCCACTGCCTACGTGTCATCAGATACTCACTAGTCTTTTTAGGACCAGTTCAGCAGGTGCTTCGGAGGAAGCTTCTTCAATTTGTTATTAGGTGGTTCCTGAGCCTTCAGTCTTCTGCCTCTCAGTCTGTGTAACTTTCCAGGAGCGTTTAGAAGTGCATTTTCAAAAGCAACATGTTTGTTTCAAGATATGCAAGACACGCTTGCCTTTTCATTCCTTCAGAAATCTGTCTCGGGAAATGATTTGCCAGAAGAATAAGAAAGTGATAGGCACAAAGATGTTTATTGAAGTCCTGGTGTAGTACTTTAAAAATAGGAGCTACCTGAGTGCCAGAAAGCCGATGACTAAATAAATTGAGCTATTCAGTTTGAGTGGTGTGTGGAGCAGTTAACTAAAAATAAGATTATGAAATCTGTGTTGTAAAAGCAAGATTGGATGTAAACTGAAAAAGGCAGAATCCAAGTTTACATTCATGCATTTTTCCATTTGTATATTGAGATTTAAAAGGCCTTAAAAAAAGATTTATTTACTTTTATTGGAAAGTCAGATTTACAGAGAGAAAGATCTTCAATCTGCTGGTTCACTCCTCAAGTGCTCGCAGTGGAGAGCCCCTTCCATTTGTTGACTCACTTACTCTATGGCTGCAATATTTGGGTCTGGGGCAGGCCTAAGCCTGGAGCCAGAAACTCCAACTGATTTTTCCACATGGGTGAACAAGACTCAAGTGTTTGAGCATCAGCTGCTGCTTCCTAGGCATATTAGCAGGGAGCTGGAACAGAAGCAGAGCAGTGAAGACTAACGTTGCACTCTGAGATGGGATGCAAATGTCCTGAGTGGCAGCATAACCCTCTGTGCCACCACAGTGACCGACCCTCTAACTGAAATCTTACTAGACCAAATGTTTGCCCTGTACTTTCTAACCGCCCTCTCCTCCCCACCCCCTTTTTTGTTCTGTTTATTAAGGAGATTGAACAATAGGGAAAGCTAATTGGAGGTTAGTTGGGTAGGGAATAGACAGAGGGTAGAGAGACGAGCGCCCCCTGCTGCTGGAGAGCTCCAAATCACACAGAAACCTGTCAAGGCCGGCTTTGGGCTTGGCTAACCCAGGAATCACCACCATGGCTGGCAGGAACCCAGTCAGTTGAGCCGTCTCTGCTCTCTGCCAAGGGCTATATTCGTGGAATGCTGGCATCAGGAGCACAACCAGGAAGCCTGGGGTCGGGTGTAGGCACCCTAGCCACCGGGCTAAACAACTTCCCCATTTTCAAATAAATTTTGTGTTTCTTAACTGGACAGCAAGTGTATTCTCTCATTCATCAAGCTTGACCTTGCGTGCCAACTGTGAGCTGGTGATGATGATGATGGTGAATTTGCTCTCTGGGGTCCAGGAGGCTGGTGAGAGACAGTGAACACCAGGCTAGTCAGGCAAGTTCAGGCAGTGGGAGCAGCTATGGAGAGAGAACACCTCTTTGATTGAAATTCCAGATTTTGTAACTATTGGAAGTGAGACTGTTTTCTTGGTTTTTTTTTTTTCCCCAGGTAATTCAGCAATAGTGTTAAACAATGTTAGTAATTTCTGTTCATTAACTTTGTACATTGCAGCTTTGTAGAATTTATTAGTTCTGATGGCTTCTTGGTGCATCTTTAGGGTTTTAAGTTTATACATATTTAAATATAAATGTTTAATTTATATATTACCTATATAATTTTTAAAAATATAATATAAATATTTAAATAAATATATATATTTCACTTGCAGAGCAATAGAAAGAGAGGAAGATAAACTTCTTCTGTTAATTTCACTCCCTAAATTTCCCAACAATCAGGTCTAGACCAAGCCAAAGCCAGGAACCAGGATCTCTAACTGAGTCTCCCAAATAGGAATCAAGGGTCAAAGTATTTGAACCATCTTCTGCTTTTTTCCCAGCAGCATTATTGGGAATCTGAGTTGGAAGTGGAGTGACATGCACTCCAATTGGTTAAGATTCAAGCAGTATCTTAACCTGCTTGTTACAGACTGACCCTCTGGGTTTTATGTTAAGATCAAGCCATCTTGGATCTCACATGATGGCTCAAATGGCGAATCCACCTGCAAGCACTGGAATCCCATATAGGCACCAGTTTGTGTCCCGGCTACTCCACTTCTTATCTGACTTCCTCCTTTTGTCTGAGAAAGCAGTGGAGGATGGCCCAGGGCCTCAGGACCTGGTTCCGGCATGGCAGACCTAGAAGAGGCCCCTGGGTCCTGACTTCAGATTGACTCAGCTCTAGCCATTGTGGCTGTTTGAGGAGTGAATCTGTGGATGAAAGAGCTTTCTCTCCTTCTCTCTGTAAATCTGCCTTTCCAGTAAAAATAAATAAATCTTTTAAAATGAAAAGATCATGCTATCCATAATCAGTGACAAAGTAAGTCGTTTTAATTTTATTTCCTTGATTTCTTTCTCCTCTTGCCTAATTGCTTTACTGGAATACCAGTGCCATATTGAATGAAAGTGGGCATATTACAGAGAAAACTTTAGCTTTTTGTCACAAACCCAAGACACCAGGCACAACAAATGCGGGCACAGGTGCCCATATGGGACACTGGTGCTGCAGGCTGAAGCTTAACATACTATGTTACGGTGCTGGCCTCAAGAGTTTGTCTCTTTATCACTAACTTTGGGGTGCTTGACTATAATGTTTGGGGGTAAAGTTGATTGGGTTGAATTTGACGGCTGCTCATTGACCTTTTTGAATCTTGCTCTGGGTTTCGGAAGCTTTTTGTCACAATCTCTTTCAATATGCTCTCTACGCCTTTGGCATTCTCAGGTGTTTCTTGAACCTCAGTAACTTGAATCGTTACTCTTTTTATGCTATTCCATATTGCCCATAAGCTTTTCTCATTCCTTTAAAAAATTTTTTATAGTTATTTTTAATGATGGCAGGTATGCCTCAGATCACGTTCACCACGTGTGGCTGGCAGGTAGGCTGTGCTTTTCTATTGCTGAGTAAAATTCTATGATTGTATAGTCTTTCATCAGGTTGGTTTCCATTCTTTCATTGTTATAACAGTATTCATTCATATGCAAATCTTTATGTGACAATAGAGTTTCCTTTTGGCAAATACCTAGGCATGAGATTGAGATTGTTGCAGATTACGTAACAGTAAATGTTTATAAAACACTGTCAAGCCATTTTCCAAAGTGATTGTGCCAATTTGTTACTTTGACTACCAATGGTGTTTTTTTTTTTTAATTTTAAAAAATGATTTCCTTTTTATTTATTTGAAAGGCATAGTTACATATATAGGGATAAGAAAAAAGATGTTGCATCCATTGGTTCACTGTCCAAGTGGCCACAATGGCCAGGCATTGGCCAGGTCGAAGCCAGGAGCCAGGAACAGAGCAACAAAAATTTGGTCCATCCTCTCTTGCTTTCCTAGGCAGTGAACAGTGAACAGGGAGCTGGATCAGAAGTGGAGCAGCCAGAACTCCAGCTGGTGCTCTAGGGGTTAATGGTGCTGCAGGTAGAGGCTTAGCGCACTGCACTATGGCGTCCCGATAATTTCATTTTAAAATGAAATCACGCTGGCTATAATTTGGACTCCGATGTCTAATATGCATGAATTGAAAACTTCACACTGATCCAGAATAAAAATGCCTTTAAGGTAAAGCCACTGTGTTCCCATCCATAATCACTGGTGTCTGGATTGGGCGAATGACTGATGTCATGACCTTGGACCACCCCATCTCTCATTTTTATTGTAGGACTTTGGCTTAAAGATTAAACCCAGGATGCTCGCTCACAGCTTTTTTTCTCCACCTTGTACTAGGGACACTGAAAGATACAAGGTTGTTGTGGATTTTGTTTTGCTTTACTTGTATAATCATGAACGTTTTTCACCCAAAAGGATTGTATCTGTTACGGTTCAGTTGTAGATACTTGCTGTGTCGATGGTCCTTGAGAGAATTACGAGAAATCATGTCACTAGGACACTAATCGTTGCTTCTTGTTTGTTCTCTGCTTGTCCCCCGAAGGGATGATTCAGACCAACATTGTTTCCAAGACTCAAAGGGAGGTGGTGAGAAGGCCGGCCTTCGTGTCCGTGTGGGAGGTGGAGCAGATGAGGAGGATCCCAGGGTGAGTGTTGCAAACACTGCTGGCACTGCCTGCTGCTGCACCATGGAGGTGTTCATGCCAGGATCTCATCCGGCCGCCCAGACATCTGGACCCCGGGTCCTTGGAAAGCCCCCGCCTGCATCCCATGGCCGTGTCATTTTGTAATATCTTGTGAGGAAAGGGCTCGGGATGCAGGATACTGGGAGCAAGGACACCAAACAGGAAACCAGTGTTTGCCTCCAACTGCAGGGAGCTTTGTGCACACCTCTGACCTGTGCTGAGGCCTCAGCTTGGCCAGCTGTGAACAGCTGGATTCCTGGGGTTTGTCTAGAAATAAACCAGATGTGCTGGAGTTTGGTTTTGCTGTGGATTCCTCTGTATGTCTTTGATTTCATAGAGAACGGGAATGCAGAGGGAGATAGAAAAGCCTGGGGAAGGACTGTGGGGAGCGATGAAGTTGATTAAGGAGGTGATTTTCTTAAAAATTTATTTTACTTTCATTGGGAAGGCAGATGTACAGAGAGAAGGAGAGACAGAGAGAAGAGCTTTGGTCTGCTGGTTCACTCCCCAAGAGGCCACAATGCTGGAGCTGAGCCACTGCGAAGCCAGGAACCAGGAGCTTCTTCTGGGTTTCCCATGTGGGTACAGGGTCCAAAGGCATTAGGTCATCCTCTACTGCTTTCCCAGGCCATAATGCAAGGACTTAGCCATTAGGCTATTGCGCTGGAATCACAGGGGATTTTTTAAAGGACACTTTTGCTGTGGTTGATTCATCATAACTCTGCTCATGAAACTCCTAGCAAAATTACATTGTTTATGAGCATTATGACTTTGTTTCATTTTCCTTTTTTTGGGGGTAATGATGGTTTTATAAACAGCCTTCAAGGCAAAGTAAATCAAGGTGTTCCAATTAGATTCCTTCAGTTGTAAGAGTCCAGGGTATTTCATGAAAAAAGGAAGTTCTCGAGAGATAAATGTGAGCGACTCTGGAAGATAACATTTCTCAAAGATGTAAAAGCGGGAACTGCTGGGCTCTCCCCACCTCGGCAGTGGTTCCTGTTCTCATGGGAGTGGAAGCAGCTAAGGGTCATAGCCTGGCGACAGGTGGCAGTGGCTGTCCATCGCCCAGGATCACATTCGGCCCCCTTGATTTGGACTCAGGAGCCACACTGAGCATGATGAACCAAGCTGGCTCCATCAGAGACTTCCGTTAACACATTCCTGCAGAGCGGAGCTGGTACACCCACTTGTTCAGATTTCACTGCTCTTGCTACTCTTTTTTTTTTTTTTTTAATAAATTCTTTATTTTTCATGCTACAGTTCCTTAGGCTCAAGCATTTCCTCTTCCTCCCTCCCCACCCTCTTCCCCCTGCTGTTTTCCCCTACATGGTAACAATAGTTTAATTCCTCAAAAACAATCACAAGAGCCTGGTGGAGTAGCCTAGCAGCTAAAGTCCTTGCCTTGCACTCACCGGAATTCCATATAGGTGCCGGTTCTAATCCTGCTTTCCTCCAACTCTCTGCTTGTGGCCTGGGAAAGTAGTCAAGGACGGCCCAAAGCCTTGGGACCCTGCACCTGCGTGGGAGACCCGGAGGAAGCTCCTGGCTCCTGGCTTTAGATCAGTGTAGCTCCGACTATTACGGCCACTTGGGGGAGTGAATCATCAGATTGAAGATCTTACTCTCTCTCTCTCTCTCCTCTTCTCTGTATATCTGATTTTGTGATAAAAATAAAATAAATCTTAAAAAAAATAAGTCACAACAATACCATTCTGTTGTTTAAGTGTATGCTGACATTATAGTTATAGAAAATGCTATAAAGTCCTCTTGCTACTCGTTTTAAAGATTTATTTATTTGAATGGCAGAATGACAGAGAGAGGCAGAAGGGGAGAAAGAAAGAGGCAGAGAGAGTGAGAAAGAGAGCGAGCGAGACAGCTTTTCCATCCATTTGTTCACTCCCCAAGTGGCTGGAGTGGCTGGACTAGCTTAAAGCCATGAACTGGAAACACTGGGCCTTCCATGTGGGTGCCAGGGGCTGGTTCTGGGGCTGTCTGCTATTACTTCCCAGGCACACTAGCAGGGAGCTGGACTGGAACTGGAGTAGCAGGACTCACGATAATGCTTAGTTAGGGGATGTTGGCCTCCTAAGCAGCGGCTTGAACCACTGCTCATAATGCTGTGATCAACAGACTCAGTGACTGTGCTGTGTGTGTGTGTGCGCCCCCTAGCTGTGAGTTTGCTTCCTGAAGTTTTAATTACCCACGGTCACCTGGGGTCTGAAAAGACAGTACAGTCAGCTGTCTGTATCGGTGGGTTCTGCATTAATTAATTTGACAAACTGCAGCTCAAAAACACCTGGGGAAAAAAGTTGTGCATCTGGAAGACTTGTTGGCTCTGTTTCCTAAAAGATACCATGTAACGACTGTTTACATATGCTTTACATTGTAAGTGATGTCGAGTTCATTTAAAGTACGTGGAAAGGATTGCTGTTGTGGTGCAGTAGGTTAACCTGCCGTGACACCAGCATCCCATATCAGAGGCCTGATTGAGTCCCAGTTTCTGAACTTGTACTCCAACTCTCTGCTAATGTGCCTGTGAAACCAGTGAAGGGTGGTTCTTGTACTTGAGTCCCTGCAGTCTAATCAAGCTATAACTTTTTTCTGTTGATGGAATATTAATACAGTTCTCTCATGTTTATTTCTATATGAATACTGCAGGTGTTTCTCTAACACATAAGCTTCTAAAACATACAGTGCCATTAACCCACCTCACAAAGTTGATGATAAATTCTTCAGTGGCATCTCATATAGTTATTATTGCTTGCACATTGTCTCAGAAACATTTATGGTTGGTCTTTTCCAATTAATATCCAAAAATTGTACATTTAGCTTGGTTAATTTGTCTGTTAAAGCCTCTTGTAATATTATAGTTCCCTTCCTCCAATTTTTTCATACCATTTTTTTAAAAAAGCTTGTTTTTACTTATCTGTAAAGCAGAGCAGCAGCAGAAAGAGAAATCTTCCATCCACTGGTTCACTCCCCAACCAATACAACACCCAGGGTTGGGCCAGGTTGAAGCCAGGAGGAACTCAGAAGTCTTTTGGGATCTCCCATGTGGGTGATAGAAACCCAAGGACTTGAGGCATCACTTATTGCCTCCCAGCGTGCATGCCAGCGGAAGCTAGATTGGAAATGGAGGTGGGATTTGATCCCAGGCACTCTGAAATGGGATTAGAATCTGGATGATTTGGCCTATAAAATTTCTCTAACAGTATAGCCAATTGGATGCTGATGGTATCATTTGACATGTAATATGTTTTTTTTAAAAAAATTTATTTATTTGGTTTAAAAAGGAAAATGCACAGAGAGGAGAAGACAGATATAGATATATATATAGAGAGGAATCTTTAATCTGCTGGTTTACTTCCTAAATGTCCAAAACTGAGCTGATTTGAAGTCAGGGGTCAGGAGCTTTTTCTGGGTCTACTGTGTGGGTGAAAGGCCCCCAGGACCTGGACCATCTTCCACTGCTTTCCCAGGCACATTAATACAGGCAGCTGAAGTGGAGCAGCCAAGATACAATTTAGTAGCTCTATGGGATGCTGGTGCTGCTATCGGCAGTTTTAGCTGGTTTGCCACAGTGCTAGTCCTGTGATACATAACACCTGTCAACAGATGCTCAGACTTGGATGCTAATTAGATTTGGCTTGGTTTTGATCCACAAAATGTGGTCATATCCCTAGTCACATCTCATGAGAGGGAGAATGTCTGATTGTCCTGCTTCTCGTGATGCAGAAGAGGAAGGAGTCCATTTCTCATCTGAGCTTTCCATTGTAGCGTTCTGCAGAGCTCCGATGTTACTAGGTGTTGCAGGATGGTGGTTTTCTATCAGTTTTTTTTTTTTTTTTTGCAACAATTGGCTGTGATTTATGTATGAAGAGCAGTTTTACTTCTGTGTGGTTGCCCTGCAATACAGAGATTCTTCCTCCCAGCTCCATGGAGAACTTAAATGTCTATCATCTGACAAAGACCCTGTGGACACACTTGCTTAATGCTAACATGTGGGACCTCTGCGGGTTGAGCAGGACAAGGAAAAAGGACTGATACCGTTGCATCCTGCACCGGTGGGATTTAATTTACCAAATTCATTTTGTTGTTGTTGTTTGAAAGGGGTTTTTTTCCCCATTGGAAAAGCAGATTTACACAGAGAAGGAGAGACAGAGGTTAAGATCTTCCATCTGCTGGTTCACTCCCCAGATGGCTGCAATGGCCAGAGCTGAGCCGATTCGAAGCCAGGAGCTTCTTCTGGTTCTCCCACGTGAGTGCAGCGTCCCAAGGCTTTAGGCTGTCCTCTACTGCTTTCCAAGGCCACAAGCAGGGAGCTGGATGGGAAGTGGAGCAACTAGGACACAAATCGGCACCCATATGGGATCCTGGCACTTGGAGATGGAGGATTAGCCAGTTGAGCCATCATACTGGGCTTATGTTGCTGTTGTTTTAAAAGCATGATTTCTGGTCCATCCATAATCAGAATGTGCAGCAAAGGAGCCCCCAGGAAAAAGCAGGAATGAACACTGTGTTTCTCTCAGAAGCCCTGGCTTAGTGGCTGGAAGCTCAATGTAAAATGTCACCTGAGCATGAGGAAACCCAATGACAGAGCCTGTCTCTTTATTTGTAGCTATAAGCCCAGGCCGACCCAGGCAGAGCCTTTGCCCGCAGCAGCTGCTCCTCAGCCAAACCTTGGCTTATTGCCCCCGGATGGATACGAGGTACTTGCATTTCATTTGTTTTGGGGTGAATCATTAAAAGACAGCACCATGTATTTTGCTGTTAAGTGTATGTTTATTATTATTTAAAAAAAACCCTTTTTTTGAAGAGAGTTAAATAAGAGTGTTCTGATCTATGTACCACTGCCTGAATGCTTGCAGCAGCTGGGGCGGGGCCCGGGCCATGGTGGGATCCAGGAACACAATCTAGCGCTCCCAGTGCAGTGGCAAGAATCCAGTTTCTTGAGCCATCGCCTGCTGCCTCCCCAGGGCTGCACTGGAGGGCAGCCAGAGGCAGGAAGCCGAGTCAGGAGTCAGCCCCACTTGGTAGGCTGACGGGCGACACAGGTCTCTCAGCTCCACCCCAGACACCTGCTCCTCCTCGGGTTTTTTTTTTTTTTTTAATTTGTTTCTGCAAGACTCAAGGGTGTGTCTTCTCAGAAAGCAGCCCACCTCTGCAGAAACCCTCCCTGTTTGCCAGGTTTGGCCACATACCATCTGGTTTGGGCAGACCCTCACAACCACCTGTGAGATGGGTGTCTGTGTCTGTATTCTATAGATGATGAAACTGGAACTCAGAGAGGAAAAGTAACTTTTCTATTAGTTGCAGCTTAGCAGTGAAACGGTTCCTTATGAAAGCGACACAAACTGGACCTCGTTTTGTCCCCCTGGCTGCCTGGGAGAGATCATTTGGCCCCACATCATGCTGCAGCTTGTATAGGCCCATTTCCTGGGGCTCCTTGGGGACTTCCAGGTCCTTTGCTCCTGCATGGTTTTGGAGCAGATCATTGGATAAATCACACACCGCAAGGTGTCTCTCTCTGCTTGCTGGCATCTGGTTTGTTAGCCTTGGCTTCGCCTGAACAGACGGGCCCGCTGGTAGCTGGCTCTTTACCACATGTGGAAGCCCTGTGCCAACCTGTGCCACCTGCTGTTAGAAGGCTAGCAAGGATATGTGTGGTGTAGGGACCCCACCTCTGGTGGAATCATGCTTTCAGTATTTCCTGCTTATCTGTTTCTTTTTTTTTCCTCAGTTGATGGAGCTCAAGCCCTCTTGTCCAGAATATTTAGGGATAAGTGGGCACTTTAAAGTTTCTATGAAAAATTTCACCATTGAAAAGATACAGAAGATCGAGAATCCTAGACTCTTGCAAGCTTTTGAAAGGTTGGTGACCGGATTTGGGGGTTTCCCTGGAATTGATGGGATTGGTGGATATCTGTTCTTTATATTCAGTAGTCTATTTAGTGGTCAACAGCTTCTTCTGACTCCAGTTGCTGTCTTAGTGTGTGAATTTCTTGCACCTCTCTCTTTTAGCTTTATAATTTTACAATTCAGTGACTGTATGTCCGTCATTGAAAAGTTGTCACATGTTTATAGCTTCCCAGCTGTTGCCTGAAAGCTGATAATACCACTCTGAAGGCTGAGGAAATAAAATGTGTAAATTACTAAGCTTTAGCAGGGACACACATTAGTAGCTATTTCTTGGTGCTGAGTCTCACTGTTTATTATTATTATTATAGGAAGAAGTCGACAATGACGAATAACGACGAAAAACTCTTATTTTATGCAACAAGCCGTACCTACATGGAGTCTATCTGTAGGAATAATTTTGACTGGACCTTGCATGGACCCCATGAAACTAAATACGGAAGAGGTTTGTGTTGGAACAGAGGGGTCTGACTAGTGATGCCGTGACTTGTACTTCGTCTGTACGATGTGTGTAGCTTCTTTGTTTTCACCAGCTTGTTCAGGGTTTGTTAATCCCAGAGACCAGGTCCACAGTAACCGTCAGTGCCCGAATCAGGAGCAATCATTTGACTCAGGGCTTGACTTCTGGACCTTAACTCTGTGCTGTCCTCTCCCGGAGGCAAGAAGCTCTTCCTCTGCTGACCATGTCTTCTGCCTTTATCTGTGATTCTTTCTGGCCGTATCCATATCTGTGAAGTCATTTAAAGTAGCTTCTTGTCACCCATAATGGATGGTAATCAGAGATGGAGAAAAGGGACAGGCGTTCATCTTCGGGTTAAGATGGGGTTTGGATCATCCATAGCAGAGTCCCGGGGTTCAGGCTTGGCTCCACTTTTGATCCTGTTTCCTGCTAATGTGTATCCCAGGAGCAGCAGGTCATGGCTCAAGTTACTGGGTTGCTGTCACTCATGTGTGAGACTGGGAATGAGTTCCAGGTTCCTGGCTTGAGCATGGCACAGCTTTGGTTGTAGGGAGCCTTGGAGAAGTGAACTAGCAAGTAGAAAGCTGAACACTCTCTCTGCCTTTAAAAATATATAAGAGGTGCCTGGCGCAATAGCTAGTGGCTAAAGTCCTTACCTTGAATGCACTGAGATCCCATATGAGATCCTGTCGCTGTCCCGCAGCGATGGACTTGGTGCATGGAGCCGATAATAACACGCGTGGACCCTGACTGATGGTCAAAAGCCCAAGTTTATTAGTGGCATCAGACTTTATACACTGAGAGTCCATCTGGGATAAGGGAGGAGGTATTGAGCTTATCAACAAAATGCATCAACTGTTTCTATACTTTTGTTTGGAACTCCTTTTGTTTTGTATATTCCACCAAGTGTTCTCATTCACATGCTGGCCACTCAACTGTTCTCATATAAATTATATCCAATCAGCTATACAAAAGGCATCCATTCGGTTGTAATCATACAGATATTATCCAATCAATTGTAATCCTGTGCTCGCTGACCTTCTAGGGTCACAGTGTCCTCTTACAGGATCTCATGTTCATGTATGCCAGTTCATGTCCTGGCTACTCCACCTGCCTTCTAGCTCCCTGCTTGTGGCCTAGAAAAGCAGTAGATGATGGCACAAAGCATTAGGACCTTGAACCCATGTGGAATACACAGAAGAAGCTTCTGGCTCATGGCTTTCGATCAGCTCAGCTGCAGTCATTGTGGCTACTTGGATAGTGAACCAGCAGATGGAAAATCTTCCTGTCTCATCTTCTCTCTGTAAATCTGCCTTTTCAATGAAAATGAAGAAATCCTAAGAAAAAAGAGAATAGCTTAGCGGTTAAAGTTCTCACCTTGAACACACCGAGATCCCATTTGGGCGCCAGTTCTAATGCCGGCAGCTCCATTTCCCATCCAGCTCCCTGCTTGTGGCCCGGGAAAGTAGTCGAGGACAGCCCAAAGCCTTGGGACACTGCACCTATGTGGGAGACCTGAAAGAGGCTCCTGGCTTTGAGTTGGCTCAGCTCTGGCCGTTGCTGCCACTTGGGGAATGAATCAGTGGACGGAAGATCTTCTTCTCTGTCTCTCCTCTGTGTAAATCTGCTTTTCCAATAAAAAGGAAATAAATCTTAAAAAAAAAAAAGTAGGGGCTCAACAGGCTAATCCTCTGCTTGCAAGCGTTGGCATCCCGTGGGCACCGGTTCTAGTCCTGGCTGCTCCATTTCCTTGGCTAAGGACTGGGAAAGCAGCAGATGATGACCCATGTCCTTGTGCCCCCACAGCCAAACAGGAGACCTGGAAAAGGCTGGTTCAGCTCCAGCCATCACAGCCATTTGGGGAGTGAAACAGCAGATGGGAGATCTTTCTGTCTCTCCATCTCCATATAAACTCTTGCTTTTTAGAAAAAGAAATATTAAAAAGAAGCTAACCAAACAAAAAAAGAATCTCTCATCTTTAGATATCTCATGGTCTTAAAGGAAACTTTTCATAGTTGACAGTGAAAAGGGAGTTGTCCTGCACAGAGGGATGAAGCGAGAATGTGACCCTCAACTCCCATAGAACAGGGAAGGTATCCGTCAAGAACAGCCTTCTTTCTGTCCCTGCCCCCAGTATGAAGGTCTAGACCCTCGGGCTCTGCTTGAACAATCTTCTGTTACACAGAATCAGAAGTTGTTTTTGTTTTGTTTGCGCTTATATTTTGAAATGCTCACTCTTATTTGAAAGGCATCGAGAGAGGGAGACATACTTCCAACTGTTGCTTTACTCCTCGAGTGCCCGAGTGCCCGCAACAACCAGGGCTGGCCTGAAGCCAGCAGCAGGGAACTCAATTCAGGTCTGAGCCATTACCAGCTGCCTCCTCTAGTGTGCATCCGCAGAAGCCTGGGATAGCAAGAGGAGCTCAACTTGAACCAAGCACTCTGTCAAAGGATATGGGGGATTCCTAAGCCACATCTTAAGCATGAGCTATGCGCTCACTCCCATGCTTGTTGTTAGCATAGGCTTTCAGTCACCATCTCCCGTGGTACTTCGGTATTGATGACGTGCACTGATGTGAAGCACTGAGCCCATCATCGGAACAAGGTTGGGCACTTGTCTTAAATGAAGCCAAGTGGTAGATATCAAAATGACAGCTGCTCCATGGAGAGAAAAATGAAGCCTTCTTATGGGCAGTGTGAAAGTCCTTGGTGTGAGCCATGTTGAAGGGTGTGTGCCTGGAGAGGCAGAAGGGTCGTGGGCTGTACTTTGATGGGCTGGTAGGGGAAGCTCAGCATTTAATGGCATGTAGAGGGGAACCATGGGAGAAAGATTAGGAAGAAAGTTTGCCATAGCTGAGCAACTGAACCAGAACTGCAGATCAGTTTGGACCACGGATAAGAATGGTGACAATTAAGAAAAGGCCCTCAACTCAACAGCCAGAGGAAGCTATGACAACTACATTCAGCTTTGTAGAAAGCAGGGATGAGGTGAAGCTAAGGATAGAAGGCCCTGTCTCGGGTCACACTGGAGCCAGGAGGCACATCATGCCATGGAGCCCACTGTAGGCCTGGGTGACGGTAGCCATCACAGTGTCCGTAAACTCTTCCAACATGCTGCCATCCAGGTACTCCAACATCTACGTTACCAAGGTGAAAACAGCAGAAACATTAACTTTTGGAGACAGTGTGACTATGTAGGTAGACAACAGAGTTTTTTAAAACTCTCCAAAGAACTGGGAAGGCGATGTTCCACGCTGCTGCCTACCCTGGGTCCAGAGTCTCTCCTAGACCTCACCTTGCATGGCTCTTTTTCTCCCATTCCCTCCAATGATTTACTTACATTTGTTTGTAAAGCAGAGTTACGCAGAGAGGGAGACAGAGATTTTCCATCTGCCAGTTCACTCCTTCAATGGTTGCAACAGCCAGGACTTAGAATTTGGAACCCTACGTAAGTTTGACACGTGGGTGCAAGGGGCCCAAGGACTTTGGTCGTCTTCCATTGCTTTCCCAGGCTCTGGATGGGAAGCGGAGCAGCCGGAATGGGGACCAGAGCCAGTGGAGGGCAGCATCGAAGGCAGTGCACAAGGCTGGCCCCATTTGGCTCTTAACTGGAGAAGATTACTTCCCTCGGTCTTACTTGGGAGTTTTCTCTAACCACGAAGACTATTCATTTTTGTAGCATACGTCTAGGTCCTATTTTACATTACAAGCTGATCATCATTCTCTCTTTTTAAAACTTATTTGAGAGGCAGACAGGGAGAGAGTCCGAAATGGAGAGTTTTATCCACTGGTTCATTCGTTAAGCATACTATGGTGTTGGTGTCAAAGCCAACACTACAACAAGAATATAAGATGAGGAGATGAAGCTAAGGATGAATTCACTTTACTTATTGATTTGTACATGGAAATAAAAACTTTGCAGTGTCCTTTGAAATGGCAGAAAGACATTTGGCAACAGTAAAATAACAACAGGACGTTTTCACCTGTCAGGAAGTTGCAGGCAGCCTGGTTTGGAAACTTGGGATTGTCTGGGATGGTTTTAAAGTTGAGGGCGGGGGCTGACTGTCTTTGAAGAGCCCTGTTGAGGTTAATCCCTCGCTCCTGCCACCCCTCTTCTTTGGACATTGTAGAAGCCCTCTGAATACCAGGGGTAAGTGCCCCCATTCCTTCACACGGGCACTCAGCTCTGGACTGTCTGTGGCTCAAAGGTACGACTGCACTTGTTCAGCTCCTCTTGCACGAGTTGCCTGCCTTGGGCCGCCGAGAGAGCCCCGCAGGCCACGCGCTCCCTGACTCGGACGCCATCTCAGTGAGCCCTTGCAGAAGCACATGCTGCCCGCCCGGTTCAGTAGCATCCCAGCCTGGATTTAGGCTTACTGGAATTTTTTTTTTTTTTTTTGTATGTAGAAAGCAAGATTTGTGTAAAAGGTATTGTTGACAGATGTTCAGTCTACCCCGTCACCTGATGACGTGCTGCTGGTCATCTCAGAAACTACTAACCCCCTTTTACACGAATCCTTTTTCTAGAAGAAACTTTTTATTTCAGAGTTTTCTGTAGTCATCCTTACCTAACCCTTGTCTTTTTCTGATTGTTTTCAGGAGGTTACTTTGCGAAAGATGCCATGTATTCTCACAAAAATTGCCCTGCTGATACCAGAAACACCGTTATGTTTGTAGCCCGAGTCCTCCCTGGCTTTTTCATCGAAGGAAACAGGATGTCCACGAGCCCTCCGCCGCAGTGTGACAGCTGTGTGGATGCGACCTTGAACCCTTCTGTGTTTGTCATCTTTCAGAAGGATCAGGTTCTCCCAGCATACGTGATTGAGTACAGCGAAACAGACAAAGCCTGTGTGATCAGTTAGAAATGAGGGCTACACCAGTGTAAAGATTGTCATAACCACTGTGTTCATTTGTACAACCAAAGTGCCCCAGGTAATAGCGAATTTGTACATGTTCTGACCCTACCTAGCTACAATTCTGATACCCAGGTCGCACCCTAATACCAGTGAACTGGTTCTGCAGTTGAGAACCAGGCAGTGTAGTATCTTGAAAGCTCTCCTGAGAATTGCAACACTTGCATTGTCCTAGACGAGATTGTCAAAGGCTGACTCCTCAGTTTTCTGTGATCACAGAAACTTCTCTCCCACCTACTCTTAGCTTATGTGTGACATCACTTTGTTTGGGTTAATTCAAAAAAAATTACTTTGGGAAATTGGACAGGAATTGAATAATACCATTTGAAATAAGGATATGAGGCTTTACATTGCTGGATGGAATATCGGGAAAATCTGAGGGCAAAAAATGCTTAGGGACATGCTGAGCAAAACAGGGGAGAGTATAAATGCTTTTGCGTTTTGTAGTGCTCTGTGATGAGACTGATAGGAGATCTGCATTTCTTTATCTCAACATTTAGGACAGACTTCTTCCAAGCAGAGTTTTCTGGCAATATAATAATAAGTAATACCTAATTTAGCTCAGCTAGAAGTGCCCAACTGTGTGAATTGCCCATGAGGGCCTTTTGTATAATTGAGGAGAAGTAGATAAGACATTTATATTGTGTAGTGCCTAGATTACAGAGAATGCTCCTCACTGCCACCCAGCCCTGCTCCCCCCAGCTCAGGTTCTCATGAAAGTGTTTCTGGTTTTGGGGATGGGGGAGGGAGAGGAGACTGGGTTGCCAAAATAAGACTGAAACAAGCACAGCTGACAAACCTAAGTGCTGTTGTCATTGTGCACAGTTGAAATTAGAGCAGGGCCATCCCTCCTGACGGCTAGGCCCTTTAACAAGGCGAGATTTGTGCCCCGGTGTGTACAGAGGACAGTGTCCCATACAGGACATGTCCCTGCCAGGGGCTTCTTTTAGAAATACAATACACCTATGGAATTGTATAATACAGTGAGGTTTTATATTAGTTAAGGTACCTGGGACCAACATTTTCCTTCCTTACTATGAATCAAGTTTTTCCTTCCAATTTTTTTTTTCAACATTCCATACCATTTGCCAACATTTTCTAGTATAGTTGCTTCCCGCAGATGCGTATATGTCATTAGCATGGGAGTTGATTTTCTGTTACATTTTTTTATCAGTACATAGAAGTTCACAATTCATTTAAAGGGCTCTAGTAGCAATAGTGTAGAGTTTGTTGTTGTTTTCTTTTAAGAGTAGGGTTATCTTCTGGGAGATTTGCATGGCGGCTATCTCATTCACCTATTGTATTTTCACATGATCATTCCTCGAGCTTGACTTTCAGATTGTAGAAGTGCAGTTTATCCACCTGGTTCTAACTGTGCTTTAGACGCCTCTCGTTGCCTGTCTTACAGGTATCTCAGACTCCACACATATGGTGTGGAACTGTCCATCGCCCCCATGTTCTCTATAAGACTAAACGGTGTCCCTGTCCCTCTGCCCAGCAGAACCCACAAGTCACCCTTGAATCCCTGCCCTATTCTAGCTCTACGTGGAAGCAGTTCCTTAGTCCAGTTTTATTTCTTACATAGCTCTTTGTCCAAGTTTCCTCTGCTTAGCAATCACAGTAGTCATCTTTTTAAAAAACATAGTTAATAATGTTCCTTGGAAATAAATCTGATCATACCTGTAGGGTAAAGTTCAAAACCATTTTCATAACCCTTTAGGGTTGCTCCATCCCCTGCCTTCTGTCATTTATTTTCTATGCAAACCACTGTGGCTTTCTTTCAGTTCTTGGTGTCTTTTTTTGTTTTTCTCCAGTGGTTCTTAGCACTTCTGGCTTTGTTTTCCTTGAAGTGCAATTCTGAGCAAATATACTCGCATGCAATACTAGAAGTAAGTGAAAAATTAACTAAATCAGTGTTAACTTAAGCAGCAAATACAAGGTTCTTCATCTGATTATACTGACAGTCTGAAGTAGTCAGATGCTTCTACCTACTTACGAGTCATTTTGAACATAAAAGAAGGCAGACGGTCAGAAGCTCTTTTGTACATAGAAGCCTGGGAAGGTGAAATAGCAAAGGTATGAGTGGGGACATAAGAATGAAAACCAGTGATGCAATAATTAATCTGCATACGGTAAGGCTTATTTGCACATGAGAAAGAATGCAGTAGCTTTCATTGCCATAGAGTTACTATGCAAGAAGCTTTACAGATTTTCGAAACGGGAAATGTGGTCTTACAGATGAGCTATAGGTCATACAAGGGTTCCTAAAAAAGTTTGCGGAGAATAAGATTAAAAGATAAGTTTATTTAGGTGCAAAACAATTTTGAAATCATGCATGGGAGGGCTCTTCAAAAAGATTGATGAAAAATTAACTTTTGGGGGGAGGGAGAAAGAAGGTAGATTTTACAAAAAGAAGGAGAGACATAAATAGTATCCATCTGCTGGCTCACTCCCCACATGGCTGGAGCTGTGCCCGTACAAAGCCAGGAGCGAGGAGCTTCTTCCAGGTCTCCCACATGGGTGCAGGGTCCCAAGGTTCTGGACCATCCTCCACTGCTTTCTCAGGCCACAAGTGGGAGCAGGATGGAAAGTGAAGCGGTTGGGACATGGGATCCCAGTGCTTGCCAAGGGGAGGATTAGCCATTTGAATCCTGAAAAATTAACATTTTGAGAAAATTAAGCATGGGTTTCAATTTTTTTATGCCAGAATAAATTAATCTTTTAGTTTCATATTTTTCCATGAACTTTTTGACGGGTTCTCATACTTGAGTGTCTAGTGAGACACTCAACATATTCGTGTATGGTTCAGGATAATTTCTTGTTGTGAGGAACTGTCCAGTGTATTGCAAGATGTTTAGCATACTTGGCTCCCATATGGTAGATGCCAGTAGCACCGCCTCCCCAGCTGCCAATGATGGTAACAACCAAAACTCTTACCATACCTATTCATCCTTTCCAGAGTAGATATTATGCAATGTACCTTTTTTTCAGAGATCATCGATAAATAACCCAGTCTATATAATGCATGAATTTCTGCAAAGATTCGAACAGTGCCCTGAATCTATTCTAATGGGGAAATAGAAATAAATTTGTAATGAAAATGAATTTTCATATGCAAATGGTCAGGCATAACCACACTCTAAGACATGAGCTAGATTTTTTAAATTCTCACTTGTAATGAATAGGTTTGGATTTAAGAGTTGCTGTGAGGTTATTCCTGTAGAGGAAGGTGAAAGATGAGATGTACAGGTGACAGTAGCCCTGTATCGGGCTAAGTCAGAATAGCCCATATTACCATATCTATATCGTAAAAGCGAAATCACCTTCATTGAAATAATAATAGGACAAGACAGATTACAGATTGTCTCAGAGGGAAAAACAAATTCTGTTTCCTGAGATGAGCTGTATGTGTGTCCTACATCAATGTCCAGAGGGACATTAGAAGTTGTACAGGGTACAGAAACTCTGTCGTCGTATGGCATGAACTCATATACCGCAGGACTTGTGTCCCCGGCTGCGTCTACTTGGGGTTTGTGGTAGTATTCAGTTGCCATGAAACCAAGTACCGCCTGTTGCCTATCGATTGTCAAAGCCTTCACTGAGACGCCCTGACATTCCCAGACTGAGCTCGGCTGTTAACTTTCATAGGAGCCCTTCCATGGAAGAGGGCAGATCTTTAATCCCAGCCAGCAGTCTTTAGGAATCCTTTTTGCCTTGCTTTGTTCATTTTTACTAACTTTAACCTGAAATTGTTAACTTTCTGCATTAGAATGTAAGCTGGCAGAAGGCGCCCTCTGTTGTGTGAGAATAGCTTGCTTTGCTGTAGCCGACGCTCAGCCTAACTGGAAACTTGATGGGCTGATAATATTGGATAATTTTTGCTGAATCAATAAGTGCAACTGTTTATAATTCAGTAGAGTTGTATTGCTTCTTGGTTTTGTTTGCTTAATTTGGACTATCTAATAAAAAGGATCAACAATTCTGTTATGTTTATTTGTTCTCTATGTTTCAAAAAAAAAGTAACCACTGAAGGCACAACTTTATTGGAGGTGGGAGAAGGGTTGTATTTTGCCCTTTGCAGCTCGGCGTGGCAGGCACACTGCCAGGACAAGGCGCAGCAGTGGTGACGGAGAAGCCCCAAATTGGTTGGCAGATCTTTAATCAGCAGACAGAAAGACCAGAAGCTGCTCATACGCCTTTCCTCTTGTGGCTCCAGGGATGGCAAACCCGGCCAGGTTGAGGCACAGCTTTGAAGTGTAAATGATTACCAGTAGCGTTATCCCACCAGCCACCCCTTTAAAACCTTGTTCTCCGCTCATTTTTAATTAAGCCCTTTGGAGGGAGAGGGAGAGCAGTCTCTGTGGCAGCATGAGTTGGTAAAGTGAAGCTAAATCTGCCATGTGATTTGGATCTCGAAATGAGTAGGACAGCAAACCCACTGCTGTCAAAACACTGGCGTGTAAATACAGGCAGATGCAGTCAAGGGCAGTGATTTGGTGTAGCAGTTAAGATGTCCACATCCCATGTCACAGTGCTCTGGCTCCCAAGTTCAGCTTCCTGCTAATCCAAACTCTGGGAGGCAGCAGGTAATGACCCAAGTCATTGGAATCTGCCACCATGTGGGATAGATTAAAGGCTTCCTGTGGGTTTACTCCAGTGAAACCTGCCATTGTGGCGGTTCAGGGATAGACCAGCATCCATCATCTAGTGGAAGACAAACCTGCGTGACAATTACTTCCTCGTTCTGACTTAATGACTACAAACTTAACTACCTCCAAAGGTGATGGATTCTGAGTGTGAAGTGTGTGGACTGGAACAATGGGGCTGGGTTCTGCAACGTTGTTGCTAAAGAATGCAGGGGCCAGTGGGCCATTTTCATTGAGAAGGTTAAGGACTGAGTGGGATGTAATTTGTAACTGACAGCATTGCACCTCCCTGGAGCCATGGGTCTAAAAACCTGTACTCCACAAGTGTGCCTGGAGTAAGAACCAGCCTTCAGAACCCAAGACGAAAAAAATCAAGGTTTGATTCCTACAAGTTACAAGCCTGAAATGGCACCAGCTGGATCAACCCCCCGTTTTTCTTTCCCCCTTGAGCTGGCCTGGTCTCTCCCAGCTATGATCCACTTTTCCTGGTAGTCTGCTCTGGGATTTCACATTTCTTTCCCCCTCTTCACACTTCTCTGTGAACGACCTGGTTTATTCCCACATTTTAGAAGGTTTATGTCTGCTGAAGTTTCAGGCAGTTTGTACAAGGCGTCACAGCCAGGCTAATGAACTGGAGTCCAGCTGCAGAGCCCACAGGTCATCCCCTCCACACTCGGGCACATGTTCTTCTGGGTAGCAGTGTTCTTCTCCACTCGAAATCCTCCATCCTCCTTCTTCATCATCGTGGACAATCCACCTAACACCCCTGACTGTAGACGTTAACATCTTTTTAAATTTTTTTGTTTATTAGGATTGATTTTTTTTTTTTTATTAGAAAGGCAGATAGATGTGCAGAGGAGGAGAAACAGAGCGAGGTCTTCCATCTGCTCCCCAACTGGTTATAACGGCCAGAGCTGAGCTGATTTGAAGCCAGGAGCTTCCTTTCAGATCTCTCGCATGCGCACAGGGACTCAAGGACTTGGGCAATTCTCTGCTGCTTTCCCAGGCCATAAGCAGAGAGCTGGATCAGGAGTGAGGCAGCCAGGATGTGAACAGGAGCCCATATGGGATGCCTGTGCAACAGGATGGAGGATTAGCCTGCTGAGCCACAGCCCTAGATGTTACAACTTTTTTAGTTGTCATCATGCCTGTCCTGGGCATCCACATTCATCTCCCCGCTGTCCTTGGTCAGAACTGCTTTCAACTCTGAAACCTTCCCATCTCTGATCACAGCCTGCCCTTTGACGTCTGCTTTCTTCTCTCCACCTCCATTTAGCTTCTCCAAGGCTGCGCCCCTGTCCTGTCATCCTTCCACGTCTTCAGGCTCCTGTCCATTGTTCAGCCCTCACTACTCACCTGCTTGGCGTATCAATCAGATTCTGTTCCAATATATATAGGGGGAATCGAGCCACATTTCCAACGCGCTCAGGAGCCACTGGGATCAGTGGTTACCTACTCTGAGACAGCCTGGCTGCCAGCCTCCTGCCACGTTCCTGTTTAATTTTCTTTGCAGCCCCTTCCCTACCAGCAGTACTTCCAATCATCTCTTCTGCCTGCGTGACTTTTGACTCTCAATCCCTTCCAGGCGAGGACCCGCTTGAATGGTGCCTGGGACACAGCAGGCGCTCAGTAACCTCTGCCCCTACAGGCATCTGTGTCCAGGGTGAAATCGCATGCCCATCTCCCAGCCCCCTCAGCCACCGATGCCTGGTGCCTGCTCTCTCCCTGCTTTCCCCAGGCCCGTCCGCGGGAAGTCAGCTAGGAACCTTGAACGTGACTGGGAGGAGTCGGCCCGCCCCGGGGATGCGTGCCGCGGCGCACTAGCGAGCACGGCCGCCGACCATGGCGGAGCCCACTGTGTGCTCGTTTCTCACCAAGGTGCTGTGCGCCAACGGCGGCCGTATGTTCCTGCAGGACCTGCGTGTCCACGTGGAGCTGTCGGAGGCCAAGCTCCGGGACGTGCTGCAGCGGGCCGGGCCCGACCGTTTCTTGTTGCAGGAGGTGGAGGTGAAGGAGGGTCCCTGGGACGCCGAGGCCGAGGTGGCGGCCGGTGTGGGCGGCGGCGGTACGGGCCCCACCGCCTGGAGGGTGGTGGCCGTGTCCTCGGCGCGTCTGTGCGTCCGCTATCAGCGCGGCGACTGCCAGGCCTGCGACCATCTGCATTTCTGCCGGCGGCACATTCTGGGCAAGTGCCCCAACCGCGACTGCTGGTGAGGTGGCGGCGGCTTGCGGGGCGCTGGGTCGGGTGGGAGGCGGGCTGCGGGGCGGCAGGCCTGACTTCTCCGGAGGGAAGCGGATTGAGGAAAAAGGGGGGTCGTGGGTCCGGCGCGGGGCGGCCCCTCTTGGCAGCGGTTGGAAGGCCGACCTCGGCCCAGGAGCCCTCAGGGTCCTCCCGCCGAGGCCGCCCCTGCGTCCCAGCTGCGGCGCCGAGCGGGACCGAAGGACCCTTTCGTGGAAATTCCTCGACCCACCGTTCTAGCCTGGGACTCGGCGTGCTCCCGGGATGGAGGGGTGAGGCGATGGGCGCCCGAGATCTTGTGAAACCCGTGGATCCTATCGCTAGAGACTGTGCTCTTTAGATTAAAAACCCGTTATCCAGATCCACCCCCAGGAAAACCCCAGAAGTGAGCGAGCTCTTGTGGCTGGAGGCTTGGCTGCAGATTACAGTATGCCCCATCCCAAAGTTTTACTTTCACTACCGGGCTCAAGGCGGGCCTAGCGTGGGGCGCTTTCTTTAGAGGTTGGAAACTGCGGATGGGAGGTAGGGGAGACCAAGGCAGGCAGCTGTGCGGGTGGAGCCTGCTCCAGGCGCCCTGGCTGACCCAGCCTGTGGTCATCATTCCTCCAGCTAGGCGAGGCTGGTGGCTGTGGAGAGACTGGGATGCTTCTTAGCTCTAAACCCTGGGCGATGAACATGAACAGGGCCTGTGGGAGGGAGGTTTGCTTCAAACTCCACGCTCTCATTATGGGGCAGTACTTTAAGGCTGTGGTACCCGCGCATCCATGGAAAGGCATCTAACTTGGCCAGTAGGTTGAGTGCTGACCTGGGCGGGGAATCTGACTCTTGGACTCGCTCACCTTGGCTTCTGACGCGGAACTCCGTATTCTCCTAGGTCTACCTGTACCCTTTCCCACGATATCCACACACCTGTCAACATTCAAGTCCTGAAAAAACATGGGCTTTTTGGCCTCAACGAAGCTCAGCTTCGGATCCTGCTTTTACAGAATGACCCTGGCCTGTTACCGGAGGTGAGTCACCGAGGGGTCGTCCTCACGTTGCCCCATTTGTCGCAAGGATTCTGCTGTCCCGTTTCCTTTTTTTTTTTTTTTTTAGGTTTATTTATTTTGAAAGAGTTATACAGAGAGTGAGGACAAGACCATCCGTCAACTGGTTCACTCCTCAGAAGGCTGTAATGTGCCAGCGCTGGGCCAGACTAAAGCTGGGAGCCAGGGCCTTCATCCGGGCCTCCCATGTGGGTGGCAGGGTTCCAAATACTTGGGTCAACTTGCATGAGCAGGGGGCTGGATGGAAAGTGGAGAAGCTGGGGCCACAGGTGGTGGTTTTACCTCTGTGCCACAATGCCACTTTCCTCCATCCCCTGTTTACCTTAAAAAAATTTTTTTTTTTTAACTTTTTAAAATCTTACTGGGATTGGTGTGGTGGCTCACAGGCTGATAATTCCTTGCTGTGCAGCATTGGCATTCCACCTAGGCACTGCTTCTAGTCCCAGCTGAGGATGGTTCAAGTCCTTGGGCCCCTGACCCCATGTGGGAGATCCAGAGGAATATCCTGGCTCCTGGCTCTGGATCGGCTCAGTTATGGCCGTTGTGGCCATTTGGGGGAATGAACCAGCAGATGGAAGTTCCTCTCTTGTCTGTTTTTCTTTCTGTTAAATCTGCCTTTCAAATCAAAAAGTAAATAAATCTTTAAAAACATTATTTATGGAAGGGGTTGAGTGACAGAGAAAAGGAGAAAGAAATCTTTGGAAGAATCTACTAATTTGCTCACCAAATGCAACTGCCAAGACTGGACCAGGTGGCAGCCAGGAGCCGGGAATTGTCCTTGGGTTTCCCACGTAGGTGGCAGGGGCTCAGGTCCTTGGGCCATCATGCACTGCCTATCCAGGCACATTAGCAGGAAGCTGGGTGAGTCTGATTTTGGGTGTAGACATCCCAAGCAGTAATTCGACGCTCTGTGCAATAATACTACTTCACCCTCCCACTTACTTAAGGAAAATTGTTTCAACTGGCAGTGAAGTCATCAGCTGACATGCCCAACTCTGAGGCTACTTTATATCCTCTTTGAGGAGGATGGGAACTGAATTAGAATGGTGAATTCAGGAGCCAGTGCTGTGGCATGGTGAGTCAAGACACTGCCTACAGCACTGGCAATCCGTATAGGCATGGTTTTGAGGCCTGATTGCTCTACTTCCAATCCAGTTCCCTGTTAATGTGTCTGGGAAAGCAGCAAAAGTTGGTTGAAGTTACTGAGTCTGTGTACCTATGTGAGAGACCCAGAAGAAGCTCTTAGTTCCTGGCTTTGAACTGACTCCGCTCCAATCATGGCAGCCGAATGGGCAGGGAACCAGTTGATGAAAGATCTTTCTGTCTCTTCCCCTTTCTCTCTTTATGACTGCCTTTCAAATAAATACAATCTTTTAAATAATTGTTTCAGAAAATCGGTACCACGGTTATAGACAGGATGCTGTTTTGTTTTAAAACAGGTCACTTGTACCTGGTACAATTTTCCATACTCTGTTATTTTATTCCTTTTTATGTGTGTGGAAGCTAAGAGAGCGCATCCAGTGGTTCACCCCCAAAATGGAGCTGAGCTGGACAAACTCTTGAGCCTAGAACTCAGTCCTGGTTGGCCACATGGGGTTCACCACTTGCAGCCTCCCGGGTTATGTGTTAGTAGAAGCAGGAATAGGAAGGTGAGATGGGACCTGCATCTCGGCCATCATATAGGTGGTGTGGACAACCTTGTAATAGTGTGTTACCTGCTGCTTCCGTTTTCCACCTTCTACATTTGTCTAACTGCATTCCTGTTGTTCTTTTCATCTCATATAAGGTGTTCCTGAAGCCCCTGAATTACTGTAAACTGACAGGCATTTTAGGAAGCTTTCTTGTATGTGTGGTGCATTGGGAGAGTAATTAACCAACCCTATTTATCTAGGACTGAGGGATCTCCTCAAATGTCAGATTTCCACAGTAAAACTTAGATGGTTGTGTTTCTTGTAGCACATCAGGAAGTATTTGACCCCTTGCCATCTTTCCATGCATGCGACGTTAAGATGGGTTAGTGATTTCAGGACTGTCAGCCTGATCCCTCCTTAAAATGTTTATTCATTTTCATCAACTTGAAAGACACACACACATGCAGAAATTTTTGATCTACTGGTTTACTTCCCAACTGTCTACAGGCTGAAAGCAGAAGCCTGGAACTCCATCCGGGTCTCGCACATGGGAGGAGCTAGGAAGTGGAGTAGCTTGGCTTCCAGCCAGCACTCTGATAGGGGTGTTTGTGTCCCAGCCGGTAGCTGAATCTGCTACACCACAATGCCAGCCTATCAATGTGGTCTTCGTTTGCGTGGGGCAAACCTAGCTTACATTTGTCCCAATGCCATTTTTATTTCTTTTAGTAATAGAAAAAAGACCTATTTATTTGGAAGGCAGTGTGACAAGGAGAAACAAAGAGAGAGTTTCCAAACTGTATTTTTACTCTCCAAATGTCCACTGAAGCCAGAAAGCAAGAGCTGGGAACTGCATACTGATCTCGCAAGGGAAGGACAGGTCCAAGTGCTTGAGCTATCCTTCACTGCCCTCTGAGGCATTTATAAACGGGGGAGTTAGTCAGAAAGCAGGGCTACTGGGACCCAAAGTGGCTCTCTGCTATGGAGTGCCAGCGTTGACAGGTGGAGGCCTAACTCACTGGGCCACAATGCTGTCCCCTGCCATGTACCTGTTAATCATACATTCTTGCATCTTTGTGCAGTCTTGCTGCCTGTTGAGATTGGCTTCGTTAGGAGAGCCTGAGGTTGGTATGCGTGAGTTACTGATGTTGGGCTCTTCCAGAAAACTCAGTAAAGGAGGAAGGGAAGCGTGAAAACAGGAAAGGAAAGGCTACTTGCACGCCCAGGTCTGGACTTTATTCCTGATGAGATACAAATGACACTGAAGACTTGTTCTAGCCTTGAGTCAAGGAGTCGGCCTCCATAGAAGCCATCCGTTGACTGCAGGCATTGGAGGAGGAGGAGGAGGGCAAGGTCAGCTAGAGGGCAAGGTGAGAAAGAGGCAGGTGGGAGTCGTTAGCAGCCAACACTAAGCACCTGGGGAAGATCACGAGCCATCTTCCACCCAGATTTTAACAGCCATGAATGATCCGAAGATGCTGTGTGTCATCTCCAGTCCTGCCGGGGCGGCTGTGGTTTACTGGCCTAGAAGGTAAGAGTAAAACTACATTGTTTAAGCATTGCCTCGTTTCTGTACCAGGTCTGTATGCCCTACAACAAGGGTGGCGATGCGCTCTATGGCTACTGCAACCTCAAGGGTAACTGCAACAAGTTTCACGTGTGCAAACCCTTTGTCCGGGGCGAGTGCAGACTTCCCGCTTGCAAGCGATCCCATCAGCTCATTCATGCCGCGTCCCTGAAGCTGCTGGAGGACCAAGAGCTGAGCGTGGAAAGCATGGTCAACTTTCAGATCATCTCTGCCTACAAGCACATGAAGTTGCACAAGATGCTTGAAAGTAAAGGTAGGCCTGTCGGAGGTGGTCAGAGCGCTGTCAATCGTGAGGCACTTTGGAGATTCTTCACTGTTTGTTACAGCATATGAGAGAGCTTAGGACAGTCAGATTTTAAGATGATACAACTGTGATTCTGAGCCAAGGATGGAAGGGCTGCAGTTTATTATCATTGCTGCCAGCCTGTAGAATCTTTTTTTTTTTTTTAAGATCTATTTATTTTTATTGGGAAGGCAGATTTATAGAGAAAAGGAGAGACAGAAAATCCTCCACCTGCTGGTTCCTCCCCAATGGCCGCAACTGTCAGAGCTGAGCCGATCTGAAGTCAATCTGGGTCTTTCACATGGATGCAGGGTCCCAAGGTTTTGGGCCATCCTCTGCTGTTCTTTCTGAGCCACAAGCAGGGAGCTGGATAGGAAGTGGAGCAGCTGGAACACAAATTAATGCCCATTTAGGAAGCTGGTGCTTACAGGTGGAGGATTAGCCAGTTGAGCCACCATGTCATCCCCACACCTGTAGAGTCCACTCCAGGGTAGGAACAGTACGTTTAGTACCTGGGGGAAATTAGGGGTTCCAGAAGAGCAGACTTGATAGTTTGGTGAGGGAGAAGAGGAGGGAGTTAGGCCAGAGACTAAACTAAAATGCAGCAATGGCTTTCATTGAATTCATTGATTTTTCTCTGTTCTTTAATTTTCTAAGTACTTTGAACCACATCATAGGAAAAGTTGTAAAGCAGAGACTAGAAATAACAAATGAATGTAATTTCACTCTACTCTAGAGTAGTCATCGCCATTCGTAGGTGCTTTAATCCTGCTGCTAGGCAAACTGCTGATCCAGTGGTGGTTAATGAGCATTGGGTTAGAGTCTTCAGTGTTTACTGTATACATCACCCATACCTTCTCATGGACAAGTACAGGCTTTCTGTCATTTTTATTTTTATTTTTAATATTTTTTTTCTTATTTATGTTTTTTTTATTTTGACAATCTTTACATAGTTAACTAGGGTAAAAAGGTTCAAGGGCTACAGGAAAGTGGATAAGACTAGTATTTTTTCCATATTGTTTCCTTCATGTTTAAAGGGGGGTATTAAGGGAGAAGGCCCACCCAATTTCCCACCCTCCCCAGGTCCCGGATGTAGGGCATGCACTGAGGTTCTTGCTCAAGTGGTTTTGATATTTCAACAGTTATGAATCGCTGCCAATCTTGCCACTCCAAGCACTATGAGGTCTTTGAAAAATCCACTGATTGACATAGTCCATTGTAGCTGAGATGGTTGGTTGACCTGTTCTGTCTTCTCTCTTTTCTTGGTTGGGGTTCTGAGTCCAGCATTTAGATTAGGAAGATCTCCAAAGAAACTTTGTCTGAGGTGTTCTCAAACCAGATTCTTATATGCGCTAGTAAGTATAGGGCCCGGCACAGTCCATCACCCTGATCAGCTGGTGGTTGTAATTGCTGGGTTGGTTCTGTTTTCACTCCCGACTTCCACTGGAACCAACGGGTGTTGCAGTCCAGCCTGGTTCTGCCCAACACATACTTGGCCCTCACATAAACCAGTGGGAGCTGCAGCCTTGTTGGAGCGACCCGCAATAACCCCCACCAGGTCCGCCACCTACCCTGGTTTGCCAGTAAGTGTAGCAGTAGTCCAGTCTGTCCCACACCCCATTCTACCCCAGCCGCTGTCTTAGTTTTATGTCCTCCCATGGAAGTGGTAACCCAAGAGGGATGAGCCCACTATTTCCCTCCCAGGCCTCTCCCACTCCCAGATTATGCACTCTCCAGATAGGCTTTCTGTCATTTTTAAATGCCTGCAAAAATGTGGGTTGGTGTTCCTTTAACTGACATGCACTCAGATCACTTAAAATATACTTACTGAGAGCTGAAAATCGATGATAAAGAGAGGCACTTAGAATTGCTGTTGAGAAAAATATATTGCCATTGTCAGAGGCTTCAGGCGTTTAAGAGGGAGTTTTCTTCCTTTGACTAGATAGTGGCGGACTCTGAGTTTGAAGGGAAGAAGCCTAAATGCTGGCGGCAGCTGTGCTGTGTCTTGGGTCTGTCACTGATCTTGCTGAATCTCCCCTAAGTGTGACTTAGTGACTCCTGCTTGTTGTTGATACAGGTGTGTGTATATCTCAGCCTTCTCCAGGATCTAAGCAGGCTTGGTTCCAGGACCCCCATCCCGTTCCTTGAGCATACCCAGGTCCATGTTGAAGAACTCCTCGTTACACAGTGGCATCGTATTTGCATAAAGCCTATGCTTATCCTCCCATATACCTTTTTTTTTTTTTTTGGTCCAAGAAGATTTATTTTATTTTAAAAATCAGAGAGAGCAGAGGGAGAAACAAGGAGAGAGATCTTTCATCTGCTGGTTCACAAGCCAGATGGTCGCAACAGCTAGTGTGGGCCAGGCTGAAATCAGGAGCCAGGATCTTCATCTGGGTCTCCCTGTTGAGTGGCAGGGGCCCAAATACTTGGGCCAGCCTCTGCTGCTATCCCAGATCAATACCAGGGAGCTCGATTGGAAGCAAAGAAGCAGCAAGGACACGAACCAGTGTCCATCCTGCTAAGTACCACAGGAGGCTGCCTTAGCTACTGTTCCACAATGCTGGTTGTGCATCCCTATATACTTGTAATTTGGCTAGATTATTTATACTGCCTAATATGGTGTGGAGGCTATTACAATACAATGTCAATAATATAAAATAATACAGTATGGACAGTTGTGCATTGTTTAAGGAAAGATGTCAACAAAAATCATTTTTGGCATTCAGTGCAGACACTACAGTTGATTGAGGCCGCAGATGGAGATCCTGTATTGTGCGTGTGTGTATGAAATCCACTAGACATTCAGTGGGAGAAGTTAGTTGAGCTACTGCTCCCAACGGAAAATCGATAAAAACAAAAAAGGATGTCTCATTTTTTTTCCTTTTCAGACAATTCAGCTTCTCCTGAGTACCCACTGGGCTTTGGGAGACAAGGCATGCCCGTGGTTGGGTACATGGGAATCGGCCCTCTGCGCCCTGCCCCTGCTCAGTCAGCCAGGAAACCCTGCACAGGCAAACCTTAAGATGCATCACTGAAGGAAGAAGGAGCTGTGACCAACTGAGATCTGAAAGGAAAGCTTCTATGGAGTGTGGCTTTGTAACCATTCCTTCACAGAATCATTTCTCGTAATGGTTCTGAAAGTCCTACCTCACTGTTTCTCAGTAATGAAAGATGAAGAGCGAAAAATGTCGGATGGGGAGGATAAAGTTTGGGGTGGGGAGTTGGAGCAGGCAGAAGGGGGGTGAAGAGTACAGGTGGGGTCTGCGCAGGACTGGTCCTCCAGACCGAGCTCCTGTCTGCAGTGAAGTCCTCAGGGCCTTCCTGGCTGAGGGGGTGCTGCCCCCAGAGGAGGGGCTTTCTGCTGACCTCGTGGGTGCTGCAGCCAGTGCTTTGCTACATGCCTGTATCCCAGTGCACATTGCAGTGAGCAGAGTAAGTATCCTTTATCTGTAAAACAAGCATCTTACTATATTTGTTCACGTTTTCATGCACCATCCCTTATTCGCACAGGTACATCAGTGTAGTTTATTTAGATTCCTCCCTTATTGTAAGTTCTTTCGAAAACACTTTGACTATAACTCCTTTCTTCAAATCTGCACCATATTGGATTTCTAAAGATGTTCTCAGCTTGTAAGTGCTAAATCACTGACTCTGAGTTTGCATGTTTTGGAAGATGTGTGGGTGAGTCCATTGTGCTGCTTTGTCATTTCGCCCAGGGCCTTTTGTTGACTGGGGCCTTTTTCTGTGCTGATGCCAGGTGGCCTTTAATGAGGGGCCTTCATTTACGTTAAAGGACATCCACCATCCTGTGCTGAGACATGGTCAGCACAGAGCATAGAGCATTTGTGTTCCCACCAGAGTTCTACCTCGCTTGCTCTCGTTTGCATCTCTTCCTAAACTTTTGCCAGCGCCCACTAGCTGGAGTTGGAAGGATGAGTGACTATTCTGTTCTGGAATGTTGTATCCGTTCTTTCTGTGGATCTGAATGGAGTCTTCAAGATTCATATGCCTTGCTCTTTTCCTATTTCCATTCCTTCCTTCTCTCTGTCCTCACCCACTTGGCTGTCTGCCTCAGGTTTTATTTGGAAATTCTGTTCTTTGTTTTCATCAAAGGGTGACCATGGAAGATCAGTTTCATGAAATAGTTTTGTGTTTGTTCTGATGATGTCCCCCAAATGCTATTGTATTGTATAAGACATTTTTAAAGAGTACCCTGTAGTGACATAGCATTAAAGGTAGAGACAACGTAGTGAGTTTGCATAAGGCTAAGTTAATTTGGAAAAAATTTGTTTTTCTTTTGAGAGCAATGTAAAAAAAAATGTCCTTTTTGAGAAATCACATTTTCTCCTAATGGTCAGTACAGTTAGTGTTAATCTCACTTTGGTTGTCAACAGTAACAGCGTTTCTACACACTCTTGCATCTGTATATTTATTTGGTAGCTCTGGCTTTTCTTGGTGCTAAATTCTTAAATATTTTATACGTTATTATTTACACTTTATTATAATACTAAGTATTTTTGTTCTAAGCCATCTTAAACCCTTAATTGAAGCAGTATAGTAGGTATAAATGCATATGCTTTACATTATTGTCTTGTTTATATATAATTATGTTTCGATATGCGATGGAGTTCTCTGAGCTTTGTTATAATATTTTATTTTATAATATTCCATTTTTTTGTGACACTGACATTCATTTTATAAAATTGTCTTTTAAAGTCCTACCTAATCTTTGATTTATTTGCATCTGATGTCCCAACTGGTAAGAAAATTATCATCATGTCATAGTTGGAGATAACGATTTTTGCTTGTTTTAAGAAGCAGAGTGCGAAAAAGCTCCCCTCTGCTTGTTCATTGCCTCAGTAAATACCTGCAGTGGCTGGGGCTAGGTCAAGGCCTGAGCCAGAAGCCAGGAACTCGATGCAGGTCTTCCTTATGCATGTCAGAACCATATGGATACCAGGACCCTGACCATCTGGACCATCACAGAGGCCTTCCGGGATGCCCATTAGCAGGAGCTGGAATTACAAACTGGAGCCAGGACTACAATCCAGGCCCTCTGAGAGAGAGTGGGGTCATCCCAATGGACAGGCCTAGTCCTCTTCTCGGAGAAGAGTTTTCTTTAGACTGCATTGGGACTTATGAAATAAAGCTCGCATGTCTCTTGGTGCCAACAATTCTTTATTTCCTAAAGCAATTACTAATATGCCTCCGGTTTTCCTTCCCTACTTTAAAGGATGTTGTCACCTTGTGACAAATGATTAAAGCCCAAACTCTGAGCTGTCCTGTACCCTTGAGTCGACACTATTTATGTAGTGCTGGCTTTTGTTTCCCCACCCCACTTTTGAAACAAAACAAAACTCTCAGATATTTATCTTGCTCTGCCCCTTTCTGCCAAATACACTCTGCCTTTGTTCAAGCCCTCACTTTCCTCTCGCATGTTTCTGTAGGTGTCTGACTTTGGTTTTAAATACTGAGGGCTGTCTTTTTTTCAGTAAGGGGTGCCCCTTCAATGTTGGTAGCCCCATTTTTAAACAGTTTCATGTTAGATATTTGTTTGGATTTCACTAATCCCATCACTGCTCTCCAGTCCTGCCTTTTCCACCCAGCTGCCTAGGTTGAGCTTCTGAAACTCCACCTGCAGGTCACACTGTTCCTTCTCTATTGAAAGCCCCCTCCTTCTCCTCCATGGTGTGGAGTTGAAACTCAGATGCCCATGGAGACCACAAAGATGAGTGAAGTGGATAAAGTGGGCTTGGATGCAAGACCCCAGGGAAGGGAGGAAGTGCTGTGGGCCGAGTGTCTCATAGGATAAGGGGGCATCCACCTCTGGTTTCTGCATGGGAATGTGGACCCAGTTGACTATTATTGACCCAGTTCCCAGAGGAAGGCAGAAGTCTAGATTTTACTGATTTTTAACACATGGGATTGTGGTTGAGTTTTTAAGATGACACACCAGGGTTGTGTGTACTTCAGCTACTTGCGCTTTCTAGAATGTGCCATTTTGTCTTGCATTTGTTTCTCTTTGTAGATGATACGTCCTGTTTTATAGGGACCGTTGCTTCATTTCCCTCTGCCTGCCTCAAAACCTGGCAAAGTGAGAGTCTTCAAAATATGGGTCCATCCTGCTTGACCCCCAAGAGAGGAAGCTAGGGTAGCACTTACTATACCTTGCAATGTCATTCTTTATTCCTTGGCTTTGCGCAAAAACATTATTTATTCTTCCTGATAATAGCTGGTAGTTAAAAATCCATTTGAATCAGTGTCATGTTGGTTTTCACTGTCTCTTCCTATCCCCACCCCTTACTTTTTTTTAATATTCAAACCCCCCCCCACCCAAAGAGATGTGTTAGAAGAATAAACATCTTTTTCGTGCTTCAGTTTTGACTGTCTAGGTCTAAAATGAACTTGTCAAAGCTTAGGATGCTAGTTCTTTCCATTAAGAAGTTAGTCTCTTCATTATTAACATGTTTCATTCATTATTATGTAGTTTCCTTTTTATTTAGGTATTAGATACCCCTAGTTATGAATTCACTGAATGGTTTCATATACTGAATTATTACTTGGTGTGGTTTGGGCAATCTGTATCTTTAGAATGCTGTTAGTTTTTACAGTATTTATCTTCTGCTGAGTTATTTTTGTTCTAATAGCTGTAGTTGGCCTATTTTTTCTAAATATAATATTCTAGCATAAAATTATTTTTTTTATCTATTTCTGTTTTTTCTTGTGTTGAATACAAAAAAAGTGACACATTTTTGGATTTTTTTTTTTACTAAATATGAAGTTAATTGTTGATTTTAAACAATGACTCTTTTAGAATAACATAACATATTTTTGCTTGTTGAAAAAGAATGGGTATCTTTTGTATAATCTTGTTGTTATCATCTAAAACACCTAATATGATTATGTTTTTCATGTTAAAGTATCTTTGAATTCCTGAGAAACTTTATCTGATTACAGTTTATATTCTTTTAATGTACTTTTCCCCTATTTGGTATACATCTATATTTTCATAAATAAAATTCATTTCTATTTCATGGGTGATGTAGTAATTTCATTTTTTTCCATATATGGCCAAATGTAAATTTTACTGTTTGGAGTAAATAAAATGATGTTTTTATTTAAAAAATACTATATTCTTGGATTAGTCTGTTATTATTTAGGAATTTTTCTAAAAGAATGCTGTTGGTAGCATATATATCATTGTAGAAATTTTGAAAAGTACAAGAAGTATTAAGCAAGAAATAATCACCCATAATCAGTATATTGTCATTATTAATGCTTTAGATATTTTGTTCATGCTTATATTCTTACATATTGGAAGTATACTATACGTATGGTTTCATATTATGTATCTACCTCATAATGATAATATTTGTTCTTTTTTTTTTTTTAAAGATTTATTCTGTTTATTTGAAAGGCAGAGTTACAGAGAATCTTTCACTCACTGGTTCATATCTCACATTGCTACAATGGTTAGAAGCCGCAGTCTGGAGCCAGAAGCTTCATCCGGTTCTCCCAGGTGGGTGCAGGGTCCCAAGCACTTGGGCTGTTCTCTGCTCTCCCAGGCACATTAGCAAGGAGCTACACGGGAAGTGGAGTAGCCTGGACTTGAACTGATGGCCATATATGATATCAGCACCACGGTTAATGGCTTTACCAGCTGTGCCACAGCATCAACCTCATAAGCCTCATAAAGGTAAATTTTGTTTTCATGATGCCTCACAGGTTCTCTCCATCTCCTGAACACATTTTCAGTTTATTTGGGAAAGGGGCTTCTGTCTGGCCCAGGTAGCATATTTTCAACTCAATGAAAGTCTGTAAACCTGAGTTGGCTCTATCTGCCTTCGAGGTAAACTTTCTCAGATAAAACTTTCTTTTGGCTCGTAGTCTTCTGCAGGTGCTTAAAATCGGTCCAGAAGGTGGGGGTCAAAGCTGTCAGTGAGCAGTTGACCCTGGCCTTTCCGTGCTGGGTCTCTTGGTTCCCTGTGTTCATGTCGAGACCTCTGATCTTTCAGGAGTTGG